TATTGAACAAGTTTCGGCTGTCTTCCGTGTTTTTTTTTGAAATTTTTACGAAGGTTCGCAATAACTCTCAGGGTGCCGGTGTTTTTGAAAAAAAGCCCATTTGTAAGTATGTCGGGTTCGAATGCAGGGCCGCTAGATTCGAACCCGGGACCTTGAGCGTGATGAGCGCCGTGTCAACGCCTAAACCGTGGTGCCACCGACGCCCCCCTGTCTTCCGTGTTGAGGTTTAAATATTCGAAAAAAGACTTATGTCTAACAATAAGCTCCGAGAAGCTTACCTTTGAAGTATTTCCGAATCAAACAAAAGGAGACCTGTTCGGAATTCTAACGTTTCGTAAGCAGTGCCGTAGGGTGGTGTATTAGGACAAGTTCTGTCTTTACTCTGCACTATCAGTCAATTAGAAAAATATCATAGCTATCTTCTCGATGACGGTATCATCACGGAGAAAATCACGCTGAAACAATTTGTAAACTGGACAGCAGACTGAGTCTAGGACAATACAAGAACGATTGATCGTTTTTTCTTCATGTGGAGTCGTAAGGATTTGTTCCTGAAATATTCTTCTCAAGGGTGTGGTTTCAAGATTTGCGTGGTTTAAGAACAGTATTCCCAGGTACCACAGCCTTTACCTAGCTAGTGCTGTGCAGTTACATAGGATATGTTCTATAGTTTCTCTCTCTTCTGGACATAATCGACATTTTTAAGGTGATATGATATAAATATGCCAGTTTTTAATTCCTTTCCGTTAAGTAGAACTTCCTCGTTCTTCCATTGGTTTTTTTCTGAGTAGGTTTTTTGTTTGCCTCATTCCTTGGTCTTTGCTCCCAGTATTTGTTGTGTTAGTTACCCAAAATGGATTTGGGTTGTTAAGAGGCTCCTTTTTAAGCAAGTATATCTGCTGACTCGTTACCTGAAATTACATCTTGACAACCCACTGTAGGATAGTCTATTTGAAGATCCCAGTTCCAGACAATTTTTGAACTGATGTTATAGACTTAGAGAGCTGCCAGACAACCAACCGTTTCGTAAAAGCTAATCAAACAGTGTGATGAGGTCGTTAATGTCAACCTAGGTTAAAAAGCTCGAAAAAGTTGAAAAAGCACAAAAACCATCAAGAGGCTTAAGAATAATGTCAACGCTGATGGCAATCCGTTTGATCGTCTAACCAGGCTCAAACTTATCGAGCCACATTATTCACTATAATATCAGTAATTAATGTTAATGCTAATATGATCAATGTAACACAATAATTATTGAGAAATAGTTTTGTAAGTTGTAATAAAGTCTCTGCGATCAAGAAGAATTGGGAAATAAAAAATGCATATAATTTATTCTCAATTTTGAAATTCTTCTTTTGGAATTACACCCACGATTGGGCAAAGGCCAACTGCTTCCGTTTTTTTTTTCTGGCTGTCCTCGTCTGGTGAGCTTTTATCGTGTATGATTCTTCCTGAAATGGCACATTATGCTTGATGTTGATATGCACATTCTTCGCATTTCTTACCCAACTCAAACATTTTCTTTTTTGATTTTTTTTTCTCTTAAAACTCACCTTTACAAACTTATGTCTCATATTTCTTTTTGTACTTGTTCGTTTACGTTTTCTGCACTTATCTTTGTTTCTAGTCACTGTTTAACCCGAGGATATTTTCATAAAAACCTGTTTTGCCTCATTGATTTTTCTCATACTTTTGTTATATAACTTTTTATTTTTGCCTCTTCAGGCTATCGCGTGTTCCAAAAAACTTTTGTTGGATTTCACAAAGCTAGCCTGATTTCGACTGTTGCGAGTCTAATCAACATGAGAAGCCAAACGCCCTGGTAGGATTTTTATAAAGAAGGATTATTAAAAAAAGTCGTATAAAACAGTTTTAAAATAAATATTCAAGTTTTAATTTAAGTTCCACCTATTTTTCAATTTCCTCGATGATGATTAACGCTAAATCGCTACATTAAACTGACTTTTCCGAGACAGCCGACGTATTAGTCGGGGTGAATGGTATACTGTGCCCTTTAAGAGCTATTTTATCCCCTGATCTGTTATATCACTCAGTGAGTCCTAGTTCAAGGAACTTGATTCGTAGGCCCGGTCTCACTGAATGAATTTCTTCAACGGTTATATTGTACATCCCAAGTGTGGCACCACAGTTTGTTAGTAGGTGTGTTGGTGTCTCCTCTGCTTCTTTACAGAATCTGCCTGGATTATACTTTCGAAGTTTTTTCCTACTTTAGTGCATTCTGGTCATTAGATTTTTCTTGGATTGTTTATGCCCAATAATTTCATTGTTTTTCATTTTGTCCTTTTGCCTAAGGCCTAAGGTACTCTTTGATAGTGTGAATTCCTATGCCACAGAAGGGCTCAGGTCCTATATATGCGGTATAGCAACCCCTTCGTAGCAAAAGCGCCCAGTTTTTCGTTGCCCGCTACTCCCACATATCCTGGGACCAGGCAGAGGGTGGTGACTTGTTTTCACCTAATCTGTTTAGTTTAGTTTTACAATTCAGCACCATCTTTGAGCTAATGATGTGTTGAAAATCTTAGTGCTTTGATGGCTGCTTGGCTGTCTGACATGATAGCTATATCTCTCGATTGTATGGACATCGGCCTGTAAGATACTGGTGTATTTTCCCATGGATTCTGAGTATTTGGTTCCAGTTTATTCGAGGTTCGCACATTCCTGCCCTCGTACCTTCTTGCGTTCTAGAACCTTCAGTGTACCAGCAGATGGGGCCATTCTGAACAGTGGATTTTTTCCCCTCTTTCCCGTTCATTTTTGATATTTAAGTTTGGAAATTTTGCTTGAACTCGAACATCTTGTCTATATCGTCTCCTGGAGACTTGGATTTTCTTTCAAATTACTATCCCTCCTTTTTAGGTTTAGTCCTGTTCTCTTTGATCATACTGATGATAGTTTTCTATGCTATTATCATGTGATTGAGGGAGATTAATCCAAATATTTTCTCTATACTGCTGTGGGACATATTCTCATTGCTCCCGTAATACAAACGCATGCGGGTCTTTTTATTTTTGTGAGTTCTCCGTTTTGTTGCCTGTTCTACTTTATCGGCCCATACTATTGCGCCGTATGTGAGGATAGGTCTCGCCATCAAGGTGTACATCCAGAGGAGGGTTTTATCTGCCTGATGTGATCCGTTATTGTTTTCTATTTCGTACAAAAGCAACTGTGGTTGTTTCGTTAGGGTCAATCCCTAATCCAGCGGTTTGCACCATTCATCTGTGATTTTCAGACCTTCTTGATTATGTCCCAGAATAATTCTTCGAATTTTCCTCTGACGGTCAGGACTATATCGTCCGCGTAGCGCTAGCCCTGTGGTCTCTCTGTGGTCCAGTCTCAAGCAGTCGTCGTCATCTGTTAAGCTTCAAAGGAGAGGTGATAGTACCATTCCTTGCGGGCATCCATTGGTTGTGCAAACGTGTATAGTGTCTTTTCCCATGCTTGTCTCAGCTTTCCTGGTTCTTAACACCTATTAAGTAAAAATCATTTTGAAAAAATAAAAGAAAAGGAAAATGTGATTTTACGGACCAAAGTCAATCTAAGATCTTTTTATTTTTTATTCTTTTTTTCACCATTCAGTTAAGCGTGTAAAGATGTAGAGAATATTAGAAATGATAACGCGGAAGTAATAGTAATGTAGAAGAAAATCATCATAAAATTCGTAGTAGAGAGTTACACATTAAGTTCATGAATGAAAATTGGTTTGGTCTACATCAGAAAGAAACTAACCCGTAGTTCAGCGTGATTAAAAATTAACTAATATATGATGCTGATTATTTTGGGTAATGATTTCTGGAGTGACCCAACTACTAGTGAAGTGGTTAGATATAACGTGTGCTGCTCTGATGATGCAGGGTCATGAATGGCAAAAAGAAAATAAGATACTATTTGCTAGACGAAGGATTAGATAATTGCTTACTTTCAATACACTTGCCATTTCACCTAATGACCTATGCGGATGCAAGAAGACTAATGTTAGTGAAGTAGATCTAGTACTAGTGAAGTAGATCATGAGGTGTACAAGGACTGATGCAAGGTCATGGATAGCAAGCAGAAAACGAGGTCGTAGTGGCTAAACTATGGATGGGACCACATTGAAGGCACTTGCTAACTCACTTAATACCCTAATGCTCTGAGTAGTCAGGTGTATTATGTGATTCTATGAGGTGTGCAACGAATGAATCACAATAATGCGGACTGTGGTGCATGTCATGGTCAGTCAGCGAATAAAGATGTATTAGTGACAAAATTATAGATAGTCAACTAATGAACTGTTTTGAAAATATTTGCTTACTCAGTTAATGACCTGTGTAGATTCTGCATAGACCCAATTGAGGTGGATGGGAACAGGTCCATCATGTACTTCTATGAGGGGTAGATCAAGGAGTGATGCAGGGTCAGGGATGGCAAGCAGAAAATGAGATACTAGTGGCTAAATTATTGATGGTCAACTAACTCACCTAATGACCTGTGCAGGTGCAGGATAGACCCAATTACTGATGGAGAAGTGACGTAATAAATAAAATAAAAGGAAAATATGATTTTCAACTTCTGTATATTTTGACACAGATAACAGATTAATGATAACTACTTTTTTTTTTAATTTAATTTTAAAAATTTAACATAATAAGTGGAATGAAAATATTTATCAAGGCACTGCATTTGAGTATAAATTCCTTTTAGAGTCTAATGAGACTAGCCATTACACAAAAAATAAATATTTAAATGTAAACAACAATAAACAAAATATAACTTTAGTCTTTTTTCTTCTTTTACCCCACAAAATAATATATAGTATAAAAAAATACAGAATTGAAAGATTTATAAAACTATCATTTTCCTCAATAACATTGTGTGTAAAATTCTTTGTTGATATGTATAAATATATAATATTTTAAATGTTTGAACACCCGTGTTTTTTTTTATTTTATAAAAGTAATTTGCTCCCTTTTGTTATTTCTTTATCTAACCAGTAAAAATAATTCACAAGCATTGAATGTAATTTATTCTAAAAATAATGAGTCTTTGCTTTTAATGGAATGGGAATTGGCCATTTTATCACTATGTGTTCCTATGTCATTTTTGTGCAATCATTATGATTGCACCCAATGGAGATACAATCATTTATTCGACAGGTAGTGGTAATTGACAAATCTTGCACCTTGAGTCAATTGGGCACACTCATTAATGAAATGACACGCCAGAAGGAGGAGGTTTCTTGGTTTCACCCTCCAAGCGAAACGCATAAAAACGCCGGAATAGAGACACAAAGCTGAAACAGAAAGCACAAACAGAATGTATTTTATGATGGTAAAATTTCTGCAAGATTTATCAAAAAGACGAACACCTTCATTTCATATGAAAGATTGAAAAATTTAAGTTTAGAATAATTTTATGAAGAACTTGGTTTGGACAATAAAGCTTGTTTTCAACTTTAAAAACATTCAACAAAACGTACGACTGTTACACGGTCAAGTTAAAAAAAAAAAAATACCACTTAGGACTGTGTGGCCTCCAGGAAAGAAGAATGAATAAGAGATAAAATAAAACTACCAATAGAAAAACAATTTTATGGCCAATTGAACAACTTTCGGCATATGTTTACTCTTCTAATGGATTTCTGCAGGTACCTGTTATTTGTAAACAAAGATGACAATTACAAATCCAAATGTGTACCAAGTTATGAATCTCAGCATGTTGCTACTATGTAAATGTTTGCAATGTGTTGTGACAGTTATTGTACCTTTTTTGAACACGCAAAAATATTAAGAATGAAAAATGGTAGAATATTGATTTTGGAAATATCACGAAACATAGGGCAGAGTAAGAAAGACATTTCTACCTTTTTAAATAATCCAGAAGACTACAGAAAGAAGAAAATACCAGGTAAGTTATCTGTCTTAACTAGCTGGGAAAAATGAGCAATTTTGAGGATCACTTCAAATTATTGTTTGACAGCTTGGCAAATTGGACAGAGAGGTAAAGGGTCAACCAACATAAAAAACATAATGAGGGCCATAAATGATGCCACATCCAGAGGAGAAAACTGAAACGGAAACCACCATTAAATAAAGTTCATTAGGAATGTCATAAACAGTCCTACAGAGAAGGAGGAATGTAGAAAAACCTTATTTTCGGATATAAAAAAAAATTACCTCAATGCCCCAATGGATGGGCACATTATTTCCATGATCAACTGAAAAAAAAGAATGGTATTTTTGAAAAGGCTAGTAGGTGGAGGAAGTGTGATGGTATGGGGCATCAGTACAATAAGAAAACAGAAATTGTTTTTGTTTATGGTAGAATGAACAGTATCAAATACCTAAAAAAAAATCAATTAACAAGGTACTTAGAGACAATATCAAGAGAATAATTTGTATTCCAGCAGGACTCTTATCTATTCAGCAAAAATGGTCAAAGCCTTTTTTCAAAAAGAAAAACATCAAGTTTTGGAATGGCCAGCTAGGCCTACAGATTTTAATATAAACTGCACAAAAATGAATACTGAAGTTTGTAATTTATTCTTATTCTATTAATTTTAATTAAATTAACCTTTATATTCTTGTTAGTTAGAAAATACAAACAAAAAAAATTGTTAATCCTCATTTTTAATAATGGATTCAGTTTCTTCTGCTATCACTACACAGAGAGAAACACGACTCATCAGTAAACATAACAGCATTCTAATTGGTGTTCTCTTCTAGGCGCTTGCTGCACCATATTCTCCTGAGTTGCTGGTGGCGGGCTATTGCAGCATGTCATCTCAAAGGGGAATACGATGTCAGGCCAACTTCCCACAAATGATTACGAATGGATTATGTTGATAAAGGCCTTGCCAAAACATCTTGTACTTCATAAAGGATCTGGTGGGCACTATGGAAAGTGTTCCGTCTTGGAGCAATGACAATATTTCTGTCCTCCCTTAGCATCGTAATGCGCTGAGATCCACTACCAGGCCTCCTATTGGCATTTCCAGTCTCTCTGAATTGTGGGAGACCACGGTCTGAAAAACACCAACTGCCTCTGCGATATTCACTTCATTCCCACAATAATATTCCGAACTTCTGGTTCAAGTTGATGTCTGTCCATTGTTAAAGAGAATACAACTGGATTAAAATGGAAAAACACGAGAAAAGGTGTTTCTTTACAAAATTATATGTAGTAAACTTCATGTTTACTATTCTTAAGTAAATCCACTATTAAAAATGAGGATTAGCATAAACAAATTTTTTGTTTTTGGTTTGATTTTACACAACTAACAAGAATATATAGATTAATTTAATTAAAATTAATAGAATAAGAATAAATGACAAATGTGGCCAATTACAGTACACATAAGATATAAAATGCATGATCCAAGAAGGATGGAAAGAAAGAAATTTTCTCAAGATGTTCGTTGCCTCTACGACCTACCAAATCAAAGTTAACTTAGCTTGAGAAAGTATGAGCCTATTCTAGGTATTAGAATTATTTTGTCATTTGTCTTAAGTCTTTCTTGTCTTTCTTCTTTTGTCCCACCTCAAGATTTTTTTTTTTTTTTTTTTTTGGCCTTATGATCTATGCATATTAACCATGTTGACGAATTCTTGTATGTGTGTTCATACTGGGGGGGGGGATCGTGAAAAAAGGGCCAGAGGCGATGGGAATTGAACACACGACTGCGGCGTCTATGAGCTGAGAGTCTCTCACGCTAACCACTCGGCTACCGCAGTCCCCAAAAACCTCAAGATTAATATTTACTATTATTCCAGATGGTAATCTTTTACTGGCAGGTACATTTAATAACAGGACAGGTTTAAAATTAAACAAAAAAATTATTTATGATTGGGGAGGGGGGCTATCTTTATGTCCTGAATCTTACATACAAAAGGCCTATAATGAAATCTACAATGAGCACAATTTATATGTATGTGGATACTCTTTTAATATAAAAATATTTAATAAATTTAATACATAAAAATCAAATATGTAAATACATATCATCGTGAATTGTAAAGAGATGTATTGGTCACTTTTAAGAGCTAGTATTTGGAGAGATTCCCCTTTAATGTGCATTATAATAATAACAATAATAATAAAAGTACCATTCATTACAAAGGGAAAAACCAAACAAATTAATATTGTAGTAATTTCTGTTCATATGTGTTAGTTGTTTTATCTATGCATAAATTTAGACGAATATAATTCTCATCCATATCCTGCCCGTGGAAATTTATATGAAAATGATTGAAAATTGGTGTGATATCTTGTTTACATCAAACAGGTGGACATTATGCCCTTCTATATGACAGGAATTACTTTACTTACTTAAGTTTTTTTTTGGGGGGGGGGAGAAATGCTAGGTGTTTAAGTCCAGATAACATTTCTGTACTTTACTTTCTTTATTTATGCACTATTTACAGATAGATGAAACAGTAAAACTGCACTATATACAAGTATACAATCCAATGACAAAAGCAGCACTTACTCCAACAAAAAAAGGCAATAAACAAAAACTAGAATAAGAGAAATTAATATTTATAGTTACTGTTTATAAGCTTATGAAAGATTAATTAAAAGAAAATTATCTTTTGCCTATGATAAATCAATTTAAAAAATTGCATGTTTAAACTCTCCAAGGCCTTGGGATTTAAATTGATTTGTGTAAAACTATTGCAAAACATTTTGAGGGCTTTGGTGATAACCAAAGATAAGGCTGCCTTGGCTTGCTTAATTCAAGTTTTTTCATGAAAAATTGCGTAATTTGAAAATTTTTAGGGAAAACATACCTGTTGTCATTTTCCCACTGATTATTGAAGGATCCTTCTTTGTGTCGGCGATCGCCGCCAGTGGTATTCCCCAATTAGCAACCGGGCCCCAAAAATGGGTGCTAAAACATAGTTTAAAAATTTGGTTTTGAAAATTTCATCGGCAAAATTGTAAATCTGTTACATAACGAATTTCATTCAAATTCAAATACCTCATCAAATAACTCCGGAAATCGGGGCTTCTGATCTGCTCGCCGAGTTTTCTTAAGAGGTTCGCCATTATATCGAGGATGTGGACGTCAAGGGGAGGAACAAACTAAAAAGAAGCCCTTCGAATTTGGCCGCGGTCCGGAATTTGGAAGTCAAAAGTGCACAACGAGCGAAGTCATTGAGCGACTCGTTGACCTTGCGATCCTTGACCTACGTGATATTTTTATTTCCAAGACATTTTCGCCGATTCGACTGATATAATTATTTACCTAATCCGAGACGGTCTCATTTGGAAATTTTGGTGTAAACGGAGAACTGTGTTTTAAATTTAGACCTGGAAATTTTTTGGGGAAAAATTTTGTAGGTAGCCTCGAGGTTACATTTCGCTTCATCGAGGAGGTTTTCGCTTTCCACTTAACCTGAAATCTCCATGTGACAACCACAACACGCTGGGAACATTTCTAATCATTAAAACTAATTCATCAATTTTCTGATCATCATGGGAAAGAAAAGAAAGGTGAGGTGGCATGAAAAGCTAAAAATTCAACTGTTTCGAGTTATTAATTAAAATATTACAAAACTCAACGAGTGTCATAATATTGAACGCATTTTATTAAAATTTAATTACATTTTAAATTTGCATTTAATATTTATCTCATTGTACCTTTTTATGAACAAATATTGAGTAAAAATTAAGCATTAAAGCCAAAAAAGATTGCTTTTTGGTTCCATTAAAAAAAAAAAACAATTTTGTTGTCTTTCGCAAATTGTGATTTACACATGTAAGCAACCACATCACAGTTTTGGGTTGAAATGTTTATTTTTTGTCCGTTGACGATAAAAATCAAGAAATCGACTACGATTGAACTATTTTTTATATGCATTGTGGCCTTTTCATGGTATGACAGTAGCCTATCTGAGCTACAAGCCTGTCACAACCCTAAAATTTATTCGTTTTTTGTGGCTATTTGTATTTAGTGTAGTATCTCATAATTTTCTTTGAACGGATTTAGAGTTAAATGTATGGATCAAGAGGAAAAAATCAAAAGTTTTGACTTATTGGAAATTTTGGTTTACACAGTTCTACCCACAACACCATTTTGGGTCACAATGTTTTTCTATGCATTGTGGCCTTAACATAGTATGGCAGTAGCATATCTGAGCTACAAACCTCAAGCCTCAGTCACAACCTTAAAATTTAGTAAATTCACTATTTTTCGTGGTCCGCTTGACCAATTAATATCAATCAAATTAAAATTTAGTTAAACATATGGATCAAGATGAAATAATAAATAAGTCAAAAGTTTTGTTGCAAATTGGAAATTATGGTTTACACAGGTAAAAAACCACTTTCCACCCACAACACCATTTTGGGTTGAAACGTTTATTTTTTTGCCTGTTGAATATCGAAAACCAAGAAATCGACTATGATTGAACTATTTTTAATTTATTTAGAAATCGTGAGATGCGGTCTGATGTCTATTTTTAATATGCATTGTGGCGTTTCCATAGTGTGACAGTAGTAGATCTGAGCTACAAGCGTGTCACAACCCTAAAATGTATTCATTTTTTATGGCTTTATGTATTTAGTACAGTATCTCATAATTTTCTTAGAACAGATTTAGAGTTAAATATATGTTCACTAGTTTCGTGGTCTGCTTGACCAATTAATATCTTTCAATGAATAAAGGTTTTTAGTTGAGATAAAAAAGTCAGTGTCATGAGCGGGATTCGAACCCACGATCTTCGGCTAGATACACCGCTGCTCTACCACTTGAGCTATCGTGACCTCGATCCACTCGGACACTAACCTCCCATCGTCATCAATCAACTTAAAACCTTAATTAATTGAAAGTGAAATGTATGGATCAAAAATCAAATAAGTCAAAAGTTTTGGCTTATTGGAAATTTTGGTTTACACAGTTCTACCCACAACACCATTTTGGGTCGAAATGTTTTTCTATGCATTGTGGCCTTAACATAGTGTGATAGTAGTATATCTGAGCTACAAGCCTCAGTCAAAACCCTAAATTTTTTTTTTTTTTGCTATATTTATGATCTCATAATTTCCTTTGGACAGATTTAGAGTTAAATGTGGATCTATAAGTTAAAATCGAATAAATCAAAAGTTTTGTTGACTAATTGGAAATTTTGGTTTATACAGGAAAACAACCACTTTACACCCACAACACCTTGTTAGGTTGAAATGTTTTCTATGCATTGTGGCATTTCCATAGTGTGGCAGTAGCATATCTGAGCTACAAGCCCCAAGCCCCAGCCACAACCCTAAAATTTAGTTAAACGTATGGATCAAAAGGAAAAAATAAATAACTCAAAAGTTCTGTTGCTTATTGGAAATTTTGGTTTACACAGGTAAAAAACCACTTTCCACCCACAACACCCCCACTTTTGGGTTGAAACATTTATTTTTTGCCTGTTGAGTATAAGAACCAAAAATTCATCTACGATTAGGCGCTTTAGTATGTTTTTCTATGTATTGTGGCCTTACCATAGTGTGGCAGTAGCATATTTGAGCTACAAGCCTCAGTCACAACCTTAAATCTTTTTATTATTTTTATTTTTTTAAATGGCTATACTTAGTACATTGACTTTCTTTTAATGAATTTTGAGATGAAAGTATGGATGGAAAAGATATACATTAAAATTATTTCAAGTTAAAAAAATAAATAGGCCTTGTCCTGGGGAGGCTGAGTGTAGAAGGGAAAAGGTCATACTGTTAATCTATAGATTAATGCGTCAATGATTAATATGACAAATTTTATATTTTAAGGGAAGATGCACTAAACGCAACGTTCACACGGCTGGCTCTGAGCCTGACTATTTGGCGAGGGCTCCCCATTCCTTCATTTTTCACCGTGGCCATGTCGGAAAGTACGTCCTGAAGTTGGTAAAGGACTTCAGGAAAGTCATGGAACCTTTTACAGCATCTCAACTTAAAGTAAGTATAATTGTGAAATTTTTCTATGTGGTCTGTGAAGTGATGAAACCTGTAATTTGGTTGCTGCAGATCATTTTCGGTATGCCTATCCTCGCTTGTGTCATGATAGAACAACCAGATTGTAATTGGTTCATATTTCATTTTTGTAATTTTAACTGTTTTTCTAATTTGACCTTTAATAAAGATTTTACGGTTTTATGAGGAAAAATATCTATTTTTTTCCATATTTTGGGAGGGTCTTTACAAATCAGTGTTGTAACAAATGTGTTAATAGCACAACACTTTCACACAAAACCAATATGACACGACAATGAGCCTTATGCCCTGAAGTTGACCTTAAAGGTCGAAACGTTGGCAAAAAAAATGAAAAAGATGTTTTTCTTAACTACCTCATTCTTGACCGCTCCTCACGACTTCAACAAATTAAAAACTGTATTTTTTTTTCTCGCTTATTAATACTATTAACTTCTTTTTCTGTTTCTCCAGCTGAGTTTCAATATTTATGGTACACGATGGCCAACTCTCTTTTTTTTTTCTTTGCCCTATTGCTAGCCCCTTTGTGACTCAGGGCCTCGTCAGTTGTGGATAAAATAAGACAAATATCAAACACAAATACACAGAGACAAGATAAAAACATAATATTCTGGTTAGCATTCACACTACTCATGAGAACTTGATATCCCTTGGGGTAATTGAGGATATGCCCTTCCATTCATGCTAATAAATTACATATACACGGCACAAATCATTTGCACTACCCCAGAGTACTCGATGTTCCTCTGGCTATTAGGGGGATAACGATAAGTTCATGCAAATAAATACATTCCTTTCAATAAATAACATATATCACATAAATGAAGGCACAAGGGTCCCATATACAATTTAAATTATTTATGGCCCTGAGATTTTGGAGCGATCTGTGCCTGCTGCCGAGCCTCTCGGCCATGCATGGGTCATTCAGGATGTCACATTTCTTACTTTGCTGACTTAATTCTTTGCAGTCAGTTATTATAAGCATTCCACACAACAGACACCTACGTTTCTCACCCCCATTAGAAGGTGTCTGTGTGTAATCTTGTTATGACTATTTGCAACTTGATAAGTATGACCCTTTCTATTCTAGATCCAACCTCTGCAGGCCAGGGGCCGATGTCTTTTTTACATTTGTATCATTTAGATGTATTTCTTTTGTTCCAGTAGATGTTCTATTTTAATGTTGTTTTATATTTTTAATTTTATTTTGGTTTGTATTTTTAATTTTGGGTACCAGCCATTGAGGGTACTCATGCCAATTTTTATTATATAAATTAATTGTAATGTTTTATAATATGTACATATATAATAATAATAATAATGGCCTTTGTATGTGCCTCACATTATTCATTATTTGTGTACTGTTCACTTATTTAATTTTGTTTGCAAAAATTTCAGGTACGTAAAAAAAATACAATTAAGGATCTTGTGGCTGTAGCAGGACCACTTCACGTTTCCCATTTGGTCATATTTACCCTTACAGAAATCAGCCCTTATATGAGGGTGACCAAAGTGCCGAATGGGCCGACGCTGACGTTCAAAATTCACAATTACGTTCTATCCACGGACGTCGCCTCTTCACTCAAAAAGCAGTATGATCACCCCGTTATGTTCCGAAACGCCCCACTTTTAATAATGAATGGGTTCTCTGGGGACACACCTGAGTTGAAACTAATGACGGCCACGTTCCAGGGGATGTTCCCGACAATAAACGTCACGAAGGTATTTTGATTTTAAAAAAATTTGTTTGTTGTTTTGATGTGCTAATTTTTATTTATTTTTATAGGTCGATTTAAATGATGTTAAAAGGTGTCTTTTAATAAATTACAATCCTGATACAAAGTTGCTTGATGTTCGACATTATGCGATTCGAGTGACGCCTGTAGGTTTATCGAAAAGTATAAAAAAGCTAGTGTCGACTAAAGTACCAAATCTGTCTAGATTTAATGACATTGCTGATTTTGTCGAAAGGTATAGAACTTCTCTCCTAACACCAACTCAATATAAAAAGAAAGTTTTCAATATATTTTGATAATTGTGCAGAGGAGATTTGTTGAGCGAGAGTGAAGGCGAGGATGACCCGAACAGTCATGTCGATCTCCCTCAAGTGATACGATCGAAGGGGAATATAGTCGGTAACAAATCAGCCATCCGACTGACAGAATTGGGCCCCAGGATGACATTGCAGTTGATCAAAGTCGAGGGTGGCCTTATGGACGGGGAGGTGATGTACCATGAATATATTCACAAGACTGAAGAAGAAAAATTGGAGGTCCACCGCCGAAAAGAGGCAAAGAGGTAAATTGTTCGTTATAATACAAAATATAAATTTAAATATACATGAAATTTCACTGTAGAAAGCTGAAACAAAAGAGGAAACAAAAACAGATGGAAGATGTGAAGAGGAAAGAGGCCATGAAAGAAGAACACAAGAAGAAATCTCTCGAAGGGATCAAAAGGAAACAAGAAGAATGGAAAGAAACTGAAACTGACAAAATTCTCATTAAATCGGCATCAGAGGGCACGGCGAATCAGGAAGAAGACGATGACGCTGAATGGTACAGAAAAGAAGTCGGCGAAGAACCTGAACCAGGTACGCATTGTTATTTTTTATTATAATATTGAACAAAACAAAAATTAATCCTTTTCGCTTTCTCAGGCATGTTTCCACAAGAGCAGCATAAAAGAAAAAGAGAGCCTTCGAATTTCAGGCCTTATAAAAAAGCAAGAACGGGTGGGAAAAAAGTTGGTTGGAAAGACCAAATTGACAAAAACGAACAGCCATATAAAGACGGACATAATTTCAAGAGAAGGTTCAAAGATAAAAATACCTCTCACCAAGGACGGTTTAAACCTGGCAATAAGCAACAATTCAAAAAGAGAGTCGGTACTAAAGTATCTCGTGGAAAGAGAAGAATGTAAATAAAACTATTTTATATTTTCACTTTTTCTTTAAATATTATATCTACCTGGTAACACATTATTTAAAAATGTACCCGATTTTAAGTATCAATTTTTCTTTTATTTGAACTGTATAATTTTATTTTGTTGGGAAATAAAATGATAATGGTTTTTTCATTGGTTATCTCTTCTACAGTAATAACTCAATAACTGTGACATTGGACCGTAGCAATATGACAAATGTTATTGATACTGTTTAATTAAACTAATTTTTTTTTTTTAAATATTGAATGGCTACACTTGGCTTTCAAATTTTTTTTGGTCAATGGTTGATACTAGGACTGGAGTTCCACCTGGGTACTACAGCTCTATTTTTGGGAGCTCACAACACAAGTGTTAAAGTGAGTCCCCAGTGTGCTGGTCTTCCAATGAAACTTAATTTTTGAAGGGGGTTGGGACAAAATTCATGGTCACTGAGATCCGAGACCACCCCAGGTCTTTTGTTCATGAATGCCTTGTCAATTTTCATTGCAGCCACCAGTCCCTTGGGTGTTAGGAAAAAAGCCCAGAGGCACAGTGGGAATCGAACTCACGACAGGGCAGGATCTACTAGCCGATCTGGTGCTTTAACCACTCTGTCACCACCGCCATCCCTTTGGCTGTGGATTGTTGATATCCATCCCTTGTCTGTTCATGCATCGACATTGCCATTTTGAAGCCTTTTAACACATTCTCTGCTAGACCTACTTTGTCTTTTTTTTAGAGAGAGAGAGAGAAATTTAAAAGAACTGAAAGCTTAACACCACGGCGTCATCTGTAGCGAACGTTTTTAATTAATTATGCACAAGGCATCGATATGAGACTTGGACAGGACTGTCCGTGAGGATTGTCAAGGTTTAAGATATAGTTTATAGAACTATAGATAGCGAAGTCATCTTCTGCAAACTATAGATGTACAATATTCCTTTTGTCTTCTTGATGTGCTAATTACAAATACTTAAATTAAATGCCACATTACTGCATTCAAGACTATCAAACTCTAAAATTTTTCAGGATGAGTAATAGCCAAATTTAGGATATTTTGTTTTTAATTGAAAAATGAAAAACAGGGGTTTTAGAAAAACAATTAAAGAAACACCGTCAATTTTAATAATAAAAATTGTCCAGTACAATACATTAAAAAAATTAAACCATCCTCCTCAACAAAGCATTTACTTTGGTTTCTCTACAGCCAAAGTCTCCGCCTTCTACATAATGGTTGGTCTTTTTCCTCCAGCCACCAGTGGGGGTGTTAAGCTGTGAAAAAACAAATAAAATCATTAATAACTTGCATTGAAATGAATTTTATACATTTGTAACTAATTTAATATAAAGCAACTCATGGTATAGAAATATCAATTATATTAAACAAAGATGAATTAATTTTGAAAGTTTTGATTTAACAGTTGTAGATTCTGTAATATTCCCCTAGAAAATACATCATCAAGGGAAACAAGAATACAAAACCAGTTAATTTTCCGGTGCTAGGAAGGTTTGTAATAGATTACAACTTTTACAACCAGGGTAGTCCGGCGGTTATACATTCTTTATTTCAAGAATACTATTTCATGTTCATTTAGAATCAAATCAGTCTTAAAAGGACGTTACGATATTAAGGTGAGATAATTATAAACGGCATTAAAATAACAGCAATAGTGTATTTATTGGCACATTTACTAGTGTTAATACCAGGGTAGCCCAGTTTAAAACATTAAATATGTTATCTACATAAACACATTGTGGGTTTTCCCCACTAGATAGAAAGAAAAAAAACACTAATTTTTAACTGTTATTATTTTTCATGGGGATTATTTTCTAGGTGATTTACCATGAATTAATTTTGAAAGTTTTGATTTAACAGTTGTAGGTTCTGTAATATTCCCCTAGAAAATATATTATCAAGGGAAACAAGAATACAAAACCTGTTAATATTCCGGTGCTAGGAAGGTTTGTAATAGATTACAACTTTTACAACCAGGGTAGTCCGGCAGTTTTACATTCTTTATTTCAAGAATATATTTCATGTTCGTTTAGAATCAAATTAGTCTTAAAAAGACGTTACGATTTTAAGGTGAGATAATTATAAATAGCATTAAAATAACAGCCATAGGGTAGTTATTGACACATTTACTAGTGTCAATACCAGGGTAGCCCAGTTAAAAAAATTAACTAAGTTGTCTACATAAACACTTCTGTGAACTTTATTCCACTAGATAGATAAAAAAGAGGATTTTTTTTTTAAACGTAAATATATTTTTCATTGGGATTATTTTCCTGGTGGTTTACGGATTGACCTTAATAGTTCCGAAAATATGTTTAATAGGGAGAAAATTAGTGTGAGTGATGTTTTTCTGTTGTGTTGGTTTAGCATCGTTATTAGCAGTATTTTGCTGCCAAAGAAATAATGGGCAACTAAACCGTCTATATTCCAGCGATAGGAAGGTTATTGGCACATTTACTAGTGTTAATACCAGGGTAGGCCGGTTGAAAAAATTAGCCAACCAATTTATACACAAAGTTTTGTTAGTTTTTCCCCCACTAGATAGAAAGAAAAAAAACTAATTTTTAACTGTTATTATTTTTCCTGGGAATTATTTTCTAGGTGATTTACTACTGCTTTAACAGTTTTGAATGAGTGTGTAATAGAAGACAATTAAAATGTCTCATCAACACTATTTGGTTCTATGTTGGTTTAGCATCATTATTAGCAGAATTGTGCTGCCAAAGAAAGCAAAGATCAATTATATTAAACAAAGACAAATTAATTTTGAAAGTTTTCATTCAACAGTTGTAGATTTTGTAATATTCCCCTAAAAAATATATTTTCAAGGGAAACAAGAATACAAAATCAGTTAATTTTCCGGTGCTAGGAAGGTTTGTAATAGATTACAACTTTTACAACCAGGGTAGTCCGGCAGTTTTACATTCTTTATTTCAAGAATATATTTCATGTTCGTTTAGAATCAAATTAGTCTTAAAAAGACGTTACGATTTTAAGGTGAGATAATTATAAATAGCATTAAAATAACAGCCATAGGGTAGTTATTGAAACATTTACTATGTTATCTACATAAACACTTTGTGGGTTTTTCCCACTAGAGAGAAAGAAAAAAAACACTAATTTTTAACTGTTATTTTTCCTGGGGATTATTTTCTAGGTGATTACCATGAATTAATTTTGAAAGTTTTGATTTAACAGTTGTAGATTCTGTAATATTCCCCTAGAAAATGTATTATCAAGGGAAACAAGAATACAAAACCAGTTAATTTTCCGGTGCTAGGAAGGTTTGTAATAGATTACAACTTTTACAACCAGGGTGTTCCGGTTTTACATTCTTTATTTCACGAATACTATTTAATGTTCCTTTAGAATCAAATTAGTCTTAGAAAGATGTTAAGATTTTAAGGTGCGATAATTATAAATGGCATTAAACTAATTTATACAAAAAGATGTGTTGTTTTGATTCTACTAGATAGAAAGAAAAAACACTAATTTTTAATTGTTATAATTTTTTCTGGGAATTATTTTCTAGGTGATTTACCACTGCCTTAACAGTTTTGAATGACTGTGTAATAGAAGACAATTGAGATGTTTCATTAATACTATTTGGTTTTATGTTGGTTTAGCATTTGTTATTAGCAGTATTGTGATGCCAAAGAAATAAAAGATAAATTATATTAAACAAAGATGAATTAATTTTGAAAGTTTTCATTTAACGGTTGTAGATTTTGTAATATTCTGCTAGAAAATATATTTTCAAGGGAAACAAAAATACAAAACCAGTTAATTTTCTGTTGCTAGGAAGGTTTGTAATAGATTACAACTTTTACAACCAGGGTGGTCCGGTTTTAAATTCATTATTTCACATAAATTTCATGTTGTTGGTAAAAAAAATTATCATTTTTAAAACCTGGTAATTTACCTAGTGGTTAGGCATGGTGTGCTAGCAAGGTAATTTAATGGTCAACCAAATCATTTATACCCTCGTGATTGGAAGGTATTGGCACATTTTAGGTAATGTCAACACCAGGGTTGCCCAGATACCATTTTGTCAACTATAGTTTTCTTATATTAAGTAATAAACAATTGTATGAATAGAACAATGACAATTAGATTTAGAATCTTAATTCATTTGACTGTGTGGAACGGTTAGTTTAAGCCAATTTATTTAAAACTGACCCAAGAATACCATGCCGAAATGCTTTTCAACAATTGGAAGGTCTATGCATGATTATTTTCATGCATAACCATGGATTTGTTGGTAAAAACGAATCTGTTCTTTCACAATAACCATGATCCATTGATTTACTGAAGAATTACTAATACATTAGTGACATTTGTTAAATTAGAATCATTTTAATTCATGCTGGTGTAGTTATTGTTCTCAGAAGCAGGCTTCCACAGTCAAATATATATATATATATATATATATATATTTTTTTTTTTTAATGATTGGAAGGTATTGACACATTTTTGATAGTGTCAACAGCAGGGTTGCCCAGTGAACATTTTATGACCTAAATTGTTTACACTAATATAATTAAAATTTTAGTAAGTCAAGTATCAAGTCAGAGATTGATAACTTATTGTCAAATATCATCTTAAGCAATAATGCACTTAGTTTATAAACTCCTCTTACAATTATGCTAAATTGTTACCATTATTACCATAATACACTAACTTAACATGTTCATTAGAGCTGTTTTTCACACCTCTTCTAGAAAACCCCCACTTTTGAAGCTTGTACAGGGAAGGGGTATTTTTAGAATCGAATCGGTGACACAGGCGTTTAATATCGCTTTGTCAACATTCTTTAACTTGTATTTTTCAATTTTTGTCGTTTTTTGAGGGGGAGAGATTAATCGCTGAATTTGAGTGTCTTTACAAATCAGTTCTAATGGACCCACCATTAATAGTATGTATGTGAAACTGTACCTTGAAAGGCCAAAGGAAGTTTGAGGCATATTTGAAGTTGGGTCCGACCGTGAAGATCTCATGCACTAAGTCTTCGATGCAGATAATATTATATTTGCCTAATTTTTTCTCAATCATCTCATTTGATGTGATTGGTATCCTCTGTCCCTTGAGCTTAGCAAAACCCCTTTTGTAGATTAGTTCGCGTACACTCTTCAAATTCGGATAACCCCAGGTGATGTAAGGCTCAGCGATCCTCATCATATTCAGTGTGGCCTTAATGTCAAAAAATAAAATGCAAAATTAATACAAATCATTAACATCAAAAATAATTGGCATACCTTATTGAGTTTCATGAAAACTCCATTGTTTATTTGCCTAAGTCTGAACAACTGCAAAACCTTACGCACTTTAGGAGAAACTTGGTTGACACTGAAATCAGGAAAAATGAATGTCATAGAAAATGAAACTGGACAAAATTATTCTATTATGTACCCTCTGATACGGATGATGAATGCCAACTTAGCTTCACCGGGAACGTAGTAGTTGCCTTTTGTTTTGGCTTGCCTTGCAAGTCTAATTTCATCTCGCTCTTTGCTCCTGTATTCTTTCACATATTGCTCAGCCCTTTTAAAGATGAGTTTCCTCTTCTTATAACGCTCAGCCTTTTTCTATAATAAAAAATTATTAATTAAAAAAATGTTGGTTGATATAAGAAAAAAAATGTTTTTGTGTTGTACCTACATTTTAAGAAATAAAGTAATAATATTGTAAGAAATATTTAATGTCTCGTCGATTAGGGTTGTGATCAGAAAGACAAAGACGCAATATATCATCAAAGCTTAGCATTGGTACAAAAGCACTATTTATTTTGAATCATCGAGATGTTGAATTAACAAAGGAGAAAAAAAAATTATTAAGGGTTGAAATGCACTTTAAAAAGTTCTTACACTATTACATGTAAAATCACCGTAAAATAATTAAAAAAAAAAAAAAGATCAAATATATTGAATATCGTAATGCATTTAAAAAAAAAAATTCATGAAGCAATTTTTCCTTCAATGCAGCATATAAATGACTTTCTAGTGACCAGTGATGAGAAACCATTGACAGCAGAACATAAACTAGAAAAATGATTATTCAGCATAATGAATAATCATCGACAAACGGTACTAATCACCACACATTTCTAAACTAGAGAAAATGGACAAAGCAATTTTTGCGTATGTGGCCTGGCACCCTTTGTATAAATGATCTTCCAAAGTGACCAATGATGAGAATACATTGACAAACCACTGACCGCTGAATGTAACAAACTATTGGGTTGTCCGGAAAATAATGCAGGATTTTGGTATTAAACAAAAAAAAAGAAACTAGTTACTTTAAAGCAATGTTCTTTAATCAAAATNACAAATGAGTAATCCTGTAAACGTAAACAGAATATTTTATATAGATTTTTTTTAATGAAAACTTAAAATCCTGCATTATTTTCCGGACAACCCAATAGAAGAAAATTAAAAGAAACTTTATGCTGCAAGGAACTAAGCAATACGTGAAAATTTATTAGAAAAAGTTTGATTTAAAAAGAAGGGGAAGTAGTTCCATTTCGATTTGTAGAACAATCTCTCTCCTTGTTACAAAAAATATTTTGTATAACTGTATCAACAAAATACACAAATTTTTTAAAATTAATTACCAAAGTGATCTATTGAGGAGTTCGTATTATCAAGAAATTTGACTTGTCGTTTCGAATTAACAAGAGTCGACTGTATTTCAACACAAAATCGCAAAAACTAAACCTTATTTAAAGGATTAGAGTATGAAGAAATATGCTTCTGTGTATACATACATATATTTTAGAATGTCTCAATAGCAGTTTTATATGGTTTTGTATAAAATTGAAAACTGAATTCAAAAGAACACCACTTATTAAGACGAAAAGGCAAGGAACATCACATCAAAATTTAATTTGAAACTATCTCAATGGTTCGTGACATTAATGCATTCTGTTACGTCTCTATGTGAATGAAATGTGAATGGACTTCTTAACTATCGAATACTATCTCTTTATGTAGGAAGACGTTTTCTCTAGTGTTGAGAATATTTTTCTGATGGATACAACTGAGAACCAATAAAATACCAATAAAATGAACATTGCCGATCAGCTCATGTGCTCATCCACTCATGAACCAACACTGCCAACGAATGAGTTTTCTGTCACCAAATTACGTTTCTGAAATTTGGGGACTGAGAAATATGAGAAGTCACATGTGGCATCACTTGTTCATGAATAGTCAATTCAGGTCAATAATTTTTTAAACTCATCTAGTGTTTGTATGTTGTTAATTTACCACGTGTTTAACTTTGTCAGTAGTAAGTATTAAAATGTCAGGTATTTTGTGTGAAAGTGTAAAATATGGGACGAACCTACTGCAAATTAGACGTTTCCAATTTAATATGACACGATGTGAAAAAGTGGAATGTTTTTAATTTTAAATAAAAATAAAAAATACCTTGAGCAAGTTTTTGAGCCTGGCAGCTTTGGTGGCATCCCTACGTTTTCTGCTTTTTAGGACAGATTCCGGTGCGGCTGGGAGCTTCTTAGCTTTCTTCTCCTCGGACTTTTTCGGATCTTTTTTCACCTCCTTCACCTTGGAGGGGTCCGCTGTCTTCTTCACTTCTTTCTTCGCCCTGTAAATACCGTGAAACAAACGCGATTAGCCATGAAAGGCCTAGGAGCAAATCGCCGACTGTCTAGGTTAGACTGCACATGTTTTGGACCGATTGAATTTATTTCCAAATTTCGCTTGGCGTTAATAGACCGAATGGATTTTTCCAAATTCGGGAACAAAAGAGGAGACGAAGAAAGAGGAGAATGACGAGGATGAACATTTTGGAAATAGATACAAACGGATAAATAATACTAAATATGTGGACTTACTTGTCAGCCATGGCTAAAGGAGAAAAGAGACTACATACACAAAAACCTACAACGAAACCTCAAGGTTGCCAACTTAAAAACCATTTCTGCTTTAAACTTTGAACAACGATATAAATTAAAATATCTTCAAACTAATAAAAAATATCTATAATAAATTTTCCTATAAAATCTAAATTGAATAATTATCAATTTTACAAATTTAAAACAGTCCTGTAAAAACCAATTCTATCTAAATTTCAAGCAAAACAGACTACCTATTTTGTCTATTTAAAGGGAATAACTAATTTTTAAAAAATGAAATAAAATAAACAATCAATACCTCTGAAATGCCCTATAAAATATGAATTGAAAAAAAAATTAAATAAATTTTCCAATTAATATTCCTAGTCTCTGTAATGTAAGCTATGGAGTTCCTCAAGGTTCACTATTTGGGCCTTTTCTTCTTTAAACTTAGTTTTCCACACATAAATTTGGCATTATTTGCTAACGATATGAAAATCTATGTCTATAGAATTAATCAAACACACTGCAAAATTCTTTATCCATTTCATCATCAGATTTTTTAAATACGTGGAACAAAGGAACCAGTTTTTTGTATAACTCGTATATATTTCGGGACAAGTTATACAAAACAAAACCCTGGTTGTTTTTGTTCCATGTATTTACAAATCCTGACCACAGATTAAATTACTCCTCAACTTAGGAAAAAAAAAGAAAGTAAATTACTTACTTTTTATCACCCTAATTATATTTGTGTATATGATAATAAAATATTTGGGATAAACACTGAACAAAGGGACCTTATACAAGATCTTGGATTTAATTTTAATCGTTAATTGACATTTTGTTGTTTTTTTCTTTGGGTCACTGGTGGCCCTTTCTTCGACTACAATCTAAAAATGTGCAATTAAATTGAAGTTTAAAAATAATATTAAATCTATTATCAACAAAGCTAATTAAACACTTTAATTATACTAATGTACATTTCAAATTTTTTTTATTTATTTATTTATTTTTATAAGGCTCTTGTGCAACTAGATTTCGATTATTTATTAATTTAGTTTTAATTCTATGATAGAAAATTTATAAGCTTTATGTATTTCAAAATTATTTATGAGATATTATCTATTTGTAATAATTACAAAAAGATAATTATTAGCGATTTTACCTGTAAATAATAAATATTCTTAAGTAGATCCATTATATTTAGTGGTCTATTGATCAAATTTCTTCTTTCGATTAATTAATCTTTTTATGTAAGGTTTTGGTTGAAATGAAAAAGTTAATGTTTAGTTAGTATGTTAGTTCAATTATAAAACAAACTAACTTTTTTCTTTTTTAGCCGACCTCAACTAAAAATAAACAAAAGGTACAAACTGTTAGTATTTCGAACTATATCAATGATTAAAGGTAAGGAAATCTAGACTAAAGAGTGAAGGTTTATTTGTCATCAAATAGCCTATTGTTTTAAAGTTTCAATATTACCTATATGATTTTCATAGTTGACAAATTGGAACGTTAGCGTTACTTTTAAAAAATCGTGTTGTAAAAAGTATTCACTTTGTCACACCATTTGAGCTTATTTACTTGCGACAGACGATTTTAAATGTTAATGTGAATTCATTTCTCAATATGTAATTTTTTTAAAGTTTAAACAAAATATTATTTTTTATTAAATCCATTATATTTTGTGTTCTGATTGACCAAATAACTTCTTTCAATTAATTAATTGAAACCACCTTTATGTAAGGTATTGGTTGAAATAAAAAAGTTAGTGTCACAAACAGGATTCGAACCCACAACCTTTGGCGCAATACGCCGCTGCTCTAACCACTTGAGCTATCCAAGTGGTTAGCTTTCAATCCACTTGGACACCAACCTCCCATCTCAACCTACTATTCTTAAGTAGTTAAAACTTCATAACTAATTTATTTCATTTCTAAACCATTGTGTGAATTTATTTTGTCAATATTCTTTTTTATTCCATAGTTGGAGCGTAGTATTTCAAATTAGGCTAAACCATTTCAAATTTTTGTGTTATCTATGAAACTACATAATAAGAACAAATAATTTATTATAAGGCAGAAGTGTCCCCTTAGAATAATACATAAATTAAATTAAAAGTTAATAACATTAACATTATTATATAAGTTAAGTTAAAAGTTAATAACTTTTGAAAGAAAAAAAACCTTGTGGTGATCATCATTAATAACAATGGACTTATAAAAAACAGAACCCAAAGGGATTAAAGCTAAAATGAGTTACTGTGAAAATTAACATAGAAAATAATCCATTATATTTAGTGGTCTATTGGCCAAATTACTACTTTCAATTACATAATCTTTTTATGTAAGGTTTTTGGTTGAAATGAAAAAGTTAGTGCCACTAGTGGGATTCGAACCCACGATCTTCTGCTAAATACGCCGCTGCTCTAACCAATTGAGCTATTGTGACTTCAATTCACTCGGACACCAACTTCCCATCTCAATTTACAACCTTTTGAATTTTCCCTCTTTTTGCCATTTTTCAAATGTCGTGTACTCAGTATTCGATTCTCGGCGACATAAGAAGTGGCCATGGGGTGAAGCTATACTTTATTTTACTTATTAAAACCATTATATTTAGTGGCCTATTGACCAAATTATTACTTTCAATTAATTAATCTTTTGTTTGTCCGAGTGGATCGAGGTCAAGATAGCTCAAGTGGTTAGAGCAGCGGCGCCAAAGGTCGTGGACAGAGGCCAAAGGACCATTGAGCCAAAGGTCGTGGGTTCGAATCCCGCTCATGACACTAACTCTTTGATTTCAACCAAAAACCTTACATAAAAAGATTAATTAATTAAAAATAGAAATTAATAATTACTGAGTAAATTTAAACTGTAGTTAAATACTCCGTTTGGAGGGAGAGGTGTATGTACAGGAGTGTTTAAAAGAACATACATGTTACAAAATTCAAATAATTCCTTTATAGTTAGAATGGTTTTGGTTGTCTATTTTTTTTATTGATGGATGTCATTCCTTGGTTCCATATAGAGAGCGAGTAGGAATGCCGTCAAATATGAAAATGTGCTTGAACACAGCAGCAAGTATTTGGGCACTCTGTTTCGATTTTTTTATTTTGCGTATATTGTTTTTGAATTTATCATTGTGAATGTGTAATATGTATTACCCCAAAAATCCTCGGGGTACACTGCAAGATGTCATTAGTTAAATTCTGTGCATATAATTATGTTCATATGTATATGTGCAGAGTTGAACTTATTCAAATCAATCATTGAGATAAAGTTTAAAAAAAATATGTCAACTTACCTTAAAATTTCAATTAATTATTCTTTTTATCTAAGGTCTTGGTTGATATGAAAAAGTCTGTATAATGATAACTCAAGTGGTAGCATATTGAGCCGAAAGTCGTTGGTTCATATTCTGCTAGTGATGCTAACATTTTCATCTCAATCAAGACCTTAGATAAAAGAATATTTACTTGAAATAATTAATGTGTCAATTATGACCGCTAAACATATATGAATTACCTTAAAGTGTTAACAAAAGCTCGTCACTTGATTTGCTGGTTAACTAATAAACTTTTATGTAGTTGCAATGCTTAGAATTTATTCTAAAATCACATAATTACAAACAGGAAATATTGCGATAATGAATATTGCAAAGTTTGTGCACTTAATTATTTATTTTTTGCAACATTCACTTTCTTTGTGATCCAATGCATGCCAGGAACAAAAAACAATTTTGACTTTTGTTTTTAAATAATAATATAATATCAATATAGGGATTAAGTATTGAGCTAAAAAAACTTTTAAATATTAGAAAATAAAATACACATTACATATATACATAATTTAAAATAATAGGTTAAATATAAGCAATATTAAAATAATAGAATGTAAATAACAATGCTTTTATCAAAGATCACAGCAGCTGCATTTAGCTAACTTTGTTTCAGTTCAAATTAAAGAAAACAAATTAACAATTAAAAAAAACAAAAAAAACATACTGTGTCTTGATACAATATTTAACAACCAGCTTAACATACAATTTTGTTTTACAATGAAAAAATTTATATCTATAAAAAGTTGGTAACGGCTTTCATCAGCAAGTACCACTGTGAGCGAGTAATACAATATTATGACATACTTGGCATTTGTGCATTACAAATGCTAATGCAAAATTAACGTTTATCACTAGTAATATAAATATTAAATATTTTAACCATTCGAAACTAAATTATGTTATAATTGAATATGCAATATTAAATTTAGTCTGAAAAATTACACAATGTAAATTAATAATTACCTACAATTCTCCTTTTTCTCTCACAGACAGTAAATGCCACAATTTTAATTTCTTTTTCTAAATTATTACTTTTTTTAATTATTTATTTTTGATAAAATGGATAACAAAATATAAAAGTCACACAACTCTTTTACAGCTTGGTATTGACTGACAAATAAAGCACTATAAACTTCGTGGGCAGTTTGTAATATTTTTTTGTAATTGAAATTTTTTTGTTTTTTGTTTTCACTACGGAGTTTATTTTTTTCGGCCTGCAACTTGTACAATTTTTTAGCACATGCAGCCACCCTCAGTGTCTTGAGTGTCCTTCTGAGGCGAGTGTTGGGTTTGAAGATCGACAGCTGTGCATTTCACCGGTTAAGGCAAGTTTCAAAAAGATTTACAACAGAGAAATTATGCAGAAAAACAGTTAAAACTATAAGCTCTAAATATAGATGCATGTCAAGGGATTGAAAATAGCAAAAAGGTCTAAATGGAAAGCATAATTTAACAAATTACAAGCTTTATTATCTTAGAAATAACATTCAACAGAAAAAAGCATTCATTTAAAATACAAACTTGTTCAGAAATTATTTCAATTATTTGCAGTCAGCCAATTGAAAAAATAAAAATAATTGCTGTCATTTTAAATTTATTTATTGAATGAAGTGGCGCAAAGTGAAAGCATACTACATAAACGTAGTAATACACAAAATACTAAGGGGAGTAAAAAAAAGTTATAAATGTTTATTTTCCATAGTATAAAATTCTAGTAATACTGCAATATTATTTATGTGTGCTGAAACTGAGAGTTTGGTCATCAGAGTTGAATCTAATTGTATAAAATTTTTAAATCTTACTGAGGTACTTTCAAAAATTGCAAATTGGTGATAATGTCTACAAAGTAAGTTTCAAGGCATCTGATACAGATGAGATATTATTGAGGCAGATCTTACAAAACGTACAAGTCCACAGTTAAAAAATTTTTTTCACCGTATCAGAGTGAATGCCATTTATTATTATTTAAAAGCACTGATTCAAAAGAATAGTGAAAAAGCTATTCAAATTAAAATGTGCATGTTAGCAAGTTTAATTTCACTCGTTAATTCGATACTGATGAAAATACTTACCTCCTGTCGACAAAACATACCTAAATACGAGTTTGTTATAGTATAGATCATGCCAAGTGCAAGAGGGCGAGCGTCAGCAAAATTCCAATAGTTTATTTATTTTTAAAAATTAAAAATCATGAAGGAGGAATTAACAATAATCAATTCATTGAAATTAATGTCATATTTCACTGCCATATTTTAAGTGTTTTCAATCAAGTTTTGTTATTATTGCTTATGTTTCATACACTATTATTTTATTTTATATGCAAATTGAAATAATTACTTAATGTGCAACTATTAGGCGCCATGGATGAGCAGCAGACCGTGTTACAATTATTGCTAAATTCATATCATAGAAAATTCCAAGGTTAAAACGCCGCATCACACCGAGTGCTTACACAGCACAAGACTTGCAGAACCAACTGATTTAAAAGATAAACTAATTTGTACAATAATATATTACAGTCTTCGAATGGAAGATCATGCTCTCAAGCTAAATAATAATTATTGTCATGCTTGCAACTATAAACCTAATATAGGAATAATTTGTATTGAAAATTAAATAATATAGTTATTTTATAAAAAACAAAATTTGTATAAATAAATATTATTAAATTTATTTCCAATCAAATAAATACATTAATTTATACAATTTCTTCAATATATATATATACAAAGTAGAATAGAAATTTACTTTTTTTTGTTACAAATACTGTTAACTGTTTTTAATAGCTAAAGCTAGAATTCCCCGATAAAGTTGTTTACCCCATTAATTTTCTTAATATTTAAAAAATTAGCACATTTTCACCAGTAATTTGATTATTTAAATGTATTAACTATTTGGTATTAAGAGGTTCACTTGAAATGGAAATGTAATAAATAGTACAAAAGGGAAAAGATTGGTAGAAAAAGGACATACTTTCTCCATTAATTAAAGTGTACACTTATAATGTGGTTTGCTCTAAATGATGATAAACTTAACAAAAACAAAATATAAAATATATTAAAAATAAAAAAAATCTTCACAAAATTAGTTAAACCAGTGAAAATTAAAAAAAAAAGAAAAAGAAAAAAAAGACAGCTTAAAGCGAAGGTTGGATTGGAAGAGGTTTTTAATTTATTTTTACCCAGTGCTTATGCATTGCGTTCTCGTTTTTTTATTGTTTTCTAAACAAAAACAGAAAAAGCAATTTCTTCAGCATGCACAACCACCTTCTTGGTTACTAGCCTCGTTTGATGTGTCTTTGAGCACGATTTCTTGCACTGGTACACGGGGGAAAAGTTAAGGAACAAAAAATAAAAATAACATTTAAACAATTATTCTATAACAAGCTTTTCACAAATTTCCACATTTTAGTTTGTTTAAACCAATCGGTATTAAATGTATAGAAAAAATTTAAAAATTAAAAAATAAGCCAATAAAAGTACACAAATAAATTTTAAAAATTTACCTTAAAAAAAACCCTGAATTATTTATGCAAATCAAAACAGGTTACTCATTAAGATATATATATTTGCACAACTGTATTTATCCACTTGTTGCAAACAACTAAAATGAAAAATATTTTGAAACAATACGTTTAAACAAAAAATTATTCTTTAGAGCTCTACAGAAGGTTTAAATATAATATTAAAAAAAAGTACAATTAAAAAGGCATTGGTAAAGCAATGATTTTCAAAAGTGCTACGTCATGTAATAATTTTCATGCAACAACAAGGTTTGCAAATAAAAGAACCGAATATAAAAAAATAAAAAATAAAATAATAAGCAAGAAGCTTTCGTGCGGTACAAAAATATTTATCTGTCTCACCAGAGCTATTCAGAAAAAGGATACTGTCTTCAGGTGGTCTGTTTTCTGTTGAATCCATACCAGGCAAAGCTGCTGCGACTCTTCGGAAAAGCTTTGAAGAATAATTAAAAAAAGTTAACATTGATATATTGTAAAAAAGACAGATTTTGAGTTTATGGGACGGACCTGTTTAACATTATACCCAGCTTTTGCACTTGTTTCTATAAACATGACATTCAGCTCTTTCGCTTTTCTTTCACCCTCATCTGTCGAGACTTGTCGCTTTTCGGACAGGTCCGTTTTGTTTCCTACAAGCATGATTATCACATCGCTACCCCTCTCTGTCCTCACGTCGTCAATCCATTTCGACGTCTGGTGAAAAGAATTGGCATCTGAAATATTACAATAAAATTTGTAACAAAAACGGCAAAACATCATCGTCCATGCTGTTGGTACGCACTAGTAATATCATATACAACTACAGCTACAGTAGAATCCCTGATATACGATGGAATCAAACTCCTAAACCTTTCTTGCCCTGCAGTATCCCAGAGTTGTAATCTTACCTGAACAATTTATACATTTTAATTATTATTTATACATTTTATTTTGTACAATCAATAAATAAGTTTTCTTACAGTCCTGTCTTCTAAGTACATTGTCTTCGACAAAAAATCTATTCCTATTGTCGCCTGAAAGAAGAATATACATTAAAAACTCAGAAATATTTATAATAGTTTCATAATCTGTCAAATCACAACTCACTTGATAAGTATTATCAAAGCTATCATACATAAACCTTGTAATCAGTGAGGTTTTGCCCACTGGAAAAGAAAAAATAAAAGAATTATAAAACAATATTATTACTAAAACCTTATTATGATTAAGAGGTTGAAGTTGTGTTGGTCAGACAGCAATACAAGGTCGAGAGAACCAATAGATCAATTAAAATTTCATTGTGAAATAGGTTGATTGATTTAATTACAATAATTATAGTACCCAGTTTTATGTAGAAATAGATAATCAGTCAAATGAAGAGAGATTTATAGTTTACTGTCATAATAAATATTGAGTTGAGGTTTGCAAGATGATGAATGTGAGAGAGCGAATCTTTGATGTGTAAGGCCACTGATCATCTGGTCTGCCCATTCTTTTTAGTTTTGTCATAAATTGTTGTAAAAAGTGAACATGTTTTCAAAAAATGTATCTTTTATTAGTGACTAAAATGATGTACCATAATTAAATTTGTTGATATATTTTGTAACTTAAAAATTAAATCATAGTGACGGTGTAGGGTGGGAGTTGTAGCCAGAAAAGAACTAGAGGCTTTATTACCGTTTTATTTTTTGCAAACACTACATTTTGCAATATTATGCTCCTTCAAAACTGTCAAAACAAAATTTAAAAACTACATTTCCTCCAGTATAGACATGTAGAACAATGTAAAAATTAAAAAGAAAAAAATGCTACAAATTTCATATGCCTCCTTCAGGAAGAAAATAGACAAAAAATTGCTCAATTAAAACAGTAATTACAACTTACTGATTATCAATTTTAATTATAAATGCCGAATTTATGGCTCATGAATAAATACGAGTCAAGTGATTTGTTTCCTATGCTCGGAAAAAGGCAAGCAATAATTAATGAGGTTTCCCCGTAGTGGCATGTTTATGACAGAAAATGAAATCAATACTTTCCTATTAGCGATATGAGCTTTATTTTAAAAACTAGACCATCTATGTTTTTCTTCCCTTTTAACCCCCCCCCCCCCAAAGGCATCCATACACACATGCATGGAATAGCAACTTGTTTTGCTGAAAGGATTTAGCAATAGGTCAAGTGGTGACTCACAGGGTGTGGCCTTGGGGAAATAGGGACTTGAATTTGTTAAAATTTTTCGAAAAATCTAAAATAAAAGTAGATTATTAATAAACAAGAATAGTTGAGATGACTACAAATTGCATTAGTCAATAAAACAACATTAATATCCAATTGTCAATAGATAATTGAGGTTTGATTTGACAAGAGAAACAGGCAAATGTCACAGTGAAAAATTTATAGGATAAAATGTTTAAAAAATCCAAATTTAATTTTATTGTAAGCTTAATTTTATTGCTTGTTATGTAAGTGTAATTTATCACAGCCCTTTTTTTGGATAATGTGAAAAAAAAATAGACTGGCTTACATTTTATTACCTAGTGTATTGATACAGTTTGTCAATCTCACTTCAATTTTGTCTGCCAAGAGTGAAATATTCAATACATCGGCAGTTATTAAAAAATAATTACTGTAAATTTTGTTTTTGTTGCGTGTTTTGACTAATGGCTCATTTATCAAATCTGCACATGCATATGCATTCGTATGTAGAGAGGTGAGCTTGTCATATCACTTCTCACTGTCCAATGGCAATTCCATTTCTGATCATCTCTCTATATCTGACGAATCACTGGAGATGGATAAACGCCAAAACACGCCTGACGGACAAAACCAGCGAGAATAGGCTGGCCAAATGTCTTTCAACTTATTTGTATCATGCAAGATTTATTATCATTATTGTGATTATAATGTAGGTTTATAAAAGGAAACTAAGGAAAAATTTTTCTTCCCTACAACAGTTGAATCAAACAAAGATTTAAAAAAAAATTGAATTTTTTTAAAGTGTTATTTTATCAGGGACGCTACCATGATGTTTGACAAATTGAATTGCTTTGCAGATTAATTCCGACAGTGTCTTATAATCTGTTGTAATATTTACACAAATTATTTCTTTGATAACGAATTAGTCTACAAATTAAACACACAATTTGATGTTAATTGTTTGAAAGATTATTACAGAAACTCTCTTTTATTTTGACGGCTCTTCTTTCTAGCGCTTGACTTTATCTAGACCCCTTAAAAGGAAAGTAATTAATATAATTATTACTTCTTCCACAATTACTCTTGTGAACCGACATTGAACAAATGACAAACACAATTGTCAGCATAAACAATCGATAAACAAATATTAAAACTTCCAAGATGGCCAAAATATTGCATAAAAAAATTTATGCCAGCAAAATGTCAAATTCTCATCCCAAAAAAGAATCTATAATAATAATAATAATAATTTTTCAACACTGGATATTTTGATTTCATTATATTAAAAGAATGATGCATGAGTGACAAATTGAATCAATTTGCAGATTAATGACGGAATTTGATTCAAAAGATTTATTTTATTTGCCGGCCATAAAGGTCGTCCCCTATGCATCCCCCTACGAAGGTACAATTTTGTGATTTTTCAACACATTTTGAAGTCAATAGTATTAAAACAATTACAAACTATGGAAAAAGAGAGACTTCTCATTTTTTTGTATAGTACACCAAAAAGCATCTTTTCTCACGAAAGACATCTTGATCCATAAAAAGAAACTAATTTTAGTAATTTTCCACTTTCAAGTTCAATATTGAACAAATGGTGTACATAAACTTATAAAAGTTAAATAATAAAATGTACAATATATTAAGTCAGGCTCATCATCTCAATGCAAAATCTGACATATTTGACACCCAACAAAAGTTGTGATTTGATTGTGATTTTAATGTCATCATCATTTAAAATGTTTGAGTGGCAAATTGTTTTATGGATTAAATTCAAAAGAGACTATCAATTCACTAGAAGTGTGTCCCCAAGACCACAAAAAGAAACGAATTAGGTAATATTCCTCATTTTTAAAATTATTAGTGAAAAAAATCATTGTATTTAATTGTCAACATGATTAACACATTCATGTAACTGATCTTCAGAGAAGAATGTTCCCACTGGCAGGCAAGTCTCAATAAAATTAATTTTAAAAAACCATTTCAGCTTAGGATGGTGAAAACTGAAATTCCAGCCAACCAACATAGAACATGTTAAATAAAACAACCATTTTGTTGGGCTATACATTATCTATACACTAGCCTTCTTTTGCCTTCTTTCCTCGTGAGAAATTATCAAGAACCATAAAAAGAAAGTAATTAGGTTATCTTTCCATTCTCATTTTTCAGTTTTTTGATTTCATTATCCCTGAAACAGTGATGTTGAGTGACAAATCCAAATTGCTTTTCAGATTAATTTTAAAAGAGACTTTCCATCTACACACTAGCTCCCAGGGTGCCTCCTTTTCTCATGAGAGACTTTATCTAGCAATATAAAAAGAAAGTAACTAATATATTTCTCTATTATCTTTTTTAATATCATTAGCATTTAAACAGTGATGTTTGTGTGATAAATCAAATTACTTTGAAGATTAAACTCAAAAGAGACTTTTCCTTCTACACAATAGCATCCCAAGTTCCTTCTTTTCTCATGACAGACTTATATCTAACAATTTTCACTCTACCACCCTAACAAAAGAAAAGATGATTTAATGACACCTGTGAATACTGGAAAAAAATCGAATTTTAGTTGATCCCCACCAAGAAAAAAAGTTTTGTTTTTGCAACATTGGACATTTTAATATTATTACCCTTGAAACAGTGATATTTGAGTGGCAAATCAAAATTGCTTTGCAGATTAATTTCAAGAGACATTCATTCTATACACTAGCACCCCAAGTTCTTCCTATTCTCGTTGCAGATTTTATCCAGAACCATGAAATGGAACTAATTGGCATATTTTCCCCATTTTTTAAATTATTAATGTGAACTGCAATAAAATAAAAAAGATTGAACATTGAAAAATAGTATACACTCCAATTTTTTACAGAATTTTAAACAAATATAATCATCAGCAAATAATTTGGGCTCCACCTTTCAGACAACACAATACCTGGCAAATAATTACAACAAATTCCACTCTTCCACCTTAATAAAATAAAAAGTTAATGACACCTGTGAAGACTCAAATGTCAATAGGTAAAGAAAAAAAAGTTAATATAGGATTATCACACTGTACAAAATTTTTTTTTTTTACCCCCCATCCACAAAGAAAAAAATTGTGCTTCTGCAACACATTCAATATCATTATCGCTGAAACAGTGATATTTGAGTGACAAATCAAATTACTTTGCAGATTTAATTCAAAAGAGACTTTCCTTCTTACAATAACACACCATGTGCACCCTGTTCTAATGAGGGACTTTATCTAGTACCATAAAAAGAAAATTAATTAGGATATTTTTCTATCTTCTTTTTTCTCTTATAGGAGTGAACTGCAAATAACAAAGAAAAAACCAGCATTGAAAAATTATATACATATAAATTTAGTAAAGCCTAATCACTTTGTTCAATGCAATTTTTTTTTTTTTTGATTACCACAAAGAAAAAATAAATTCTTATAAAGATTGGACAACACTCACTCCACCATTTATCATTTATATAAAAAAAGTACTGTTTTTGCAACAATGGACATTTCAATATCATTATCTTTGATACTGTCAAGTTTTAGTGACAAATAAAAATTGCTTGGTAGATTAATTTCAAAAGAGACTTTCCTTCTATACACTAGTACCCCAAGTTACTTTTCTTGTGGCAGACTTTATCTAGAACCATGAAATGGAACTAATTGGCATATCTTCCCATGTTTTAATTTATTAATGGGAACTTCAATAAAATAATTTTAAAAAATTGAGCATTGAAAAATGGCATACATTCCAGCTGTCACAGAATTTATAAAAAATATAATCACTAGAAACAATAATTCGGGCTTAACACCTTGCAGATAATACAATACCTCGTAAATAATTACAACAAATTTCACCCTCCCATCCTAATAAAAGAAAAGGTTAATGACACCTGTAAATACTCAATTGTCAATACGTAAAGAAAAATAGTTAATATAGGATAATCACATGGTACAAAAATTTAATTTTTGTTGTTTAACAATTTTCACCCTTACACCCTAATAAAAGAAAAGGTGATTTAATGACACCTGTGAATACTCAATTGTCAACACAATAATTAAATATAGACAAAGCCTGATTTTGTTCAACGCAAGATTTTACAAAATGTTTTAGTTGATTCCCTACCAAGGGAAAAGTTGTTTTTTGCACCATTGCATTTGACATTTTAATATCATTATCGTTGAAGTAGTGATGTTTTGAGTGACAAATCAAATTGTTTTGCAAATTAATGACAGCATCATGTAACGTTTAAACATATTGTATCTCCGATGAAGAATCGCTTGACAAACACATTACACTGCTATCTGCAATAAAGATAGTGTACATGAGCGGATAAACAACTTTATTGGTTTTCTTTTTTCTAAAAGGTTCTGAAACCGCAGAAATTGTTTTCGTTAATGTTAAAAAAAGCCAGTTTTTCACTCGTGTTCGTAAAACAAGAGGCCTTCAGGGGAAATTCATTCGCTTCACGGTTTTACGACCTTCTCGTATTTCATTGCCGTAAAATAAGACTGAAGGGTAAAATTGTTAAAATAAGTTAAAAACGGCAACGAAATCAAATAGACAAGAGTTAATTTATACCCTCGGTCCGGAGTCTTTTATATTTCAGGGGACGAAATCAATAAGATGAATATTGAATTTGCAATTTTGGGGGTCGAGGGAGATCAGAGGGAGGAATTTAAACGTCGAATTTGTTCAAACGTGGGTTTAAACCATAAAAAATTGAGAGTATGGGGAGGTTGATGAAAAAATCTTAAATCAAACTAGGGCAATAGGTTTATTTGGAATTCCTTCGATCGCCAAGGGTTTTTTTTACGGATAAAAAGGCCGTTTAATTTTTTAAAGGAAAATGAAGGAAAACAAGATTGCAGGGATGAGACGGTGCGAAATTGTCGGTCAACTCACCACTCTGCTCCCCGAGAAAGACGAGTTTGAACTTCCTGAGCGGGTTACCGAAATCTCCAGACGAAGACATGCTCGCTGCGTCGTCGGTTCTTTTTAAAAGACGGCCCTCAGACTGGGATTTCGAGTCGAAAAACGTTTCTCACTTGTAGAAAAAGTAAAAAATACCCCCAGGGGTTCGGTTTGTCACATTTGTAAACAGGGTCCGGGGATTTGACAAGAATGGCCGACGTCGGCTCCTCCTCAAGTCCTCACGACTCCCAGGCCGACGACCCCCACCCGGCTCCGCCACGTTCACTCATTTTACCCTTTCCACACCAAAAATTGTAAGTCGCAATTTAATAAACAATCAATTAAAAATAAGACGCGCAAAAAAATCTTAAACTGTTTAACAATCTAAAATTTCGTAAACCAACTACAAAAGAAAACTTTCAACCATCAACAATTTTCTTTTTAATAAAAACATCGTTTTATTTTTTCCACATTTCCAAAATGCAAAATAAAAAAACACTATTTTTAAATAATCAACCAATAAAGAACAAAAACAAAATAAATTATATCATTCTCTTAATTATCCTCATCGCCAAAAATTGTTATCCTATAACCGCATTGTAACCTCCTTTAGTGTTTTCCAAGTCCGCATGTTTTCTTTCTGTTCAGAAAATCAGGATGAAAGTTAAAATTTTATCCAGGAACCCTGATGAGTACATGAGGGAAACGACCAGGGATTTATTCAAGGGTAAGGTTTAGAGAATTTAAAGCAAAAAAGCCTTCTAAAAAAAATAACAATAAAACAATAGTTGGTGCTATGTGACACTTAGCTGAGTATAACATTTGACAGATCTCAATACCAAGACGAAATGTAGAATAGTTGGATATTACCATAAAAGACAATCTTGTTTTGAATGATTTAGGCGTCAATATAGATAGAAATGCAACAAATAGCTCTGTCAAGAGTTATCAGGTCTCGTATTCGAAACAAATAGATCAGTTTGATTTTGGGAGGATTTTTAATAAAGGTATGCAGTAGTATTTTTGGGGCTTGAAGGAGTTTATGACCCAAGTAATCTTGGTAGGGGGACTGCGGTACTGATTAAGGCGTCAAACTCTTGGCTAGTAGATCCTGCGGTCGAGTTTTTGATTCCCACCATTGCCTGTGGAATTTTCTTTGTTGTCACCTAAGGTTGTTCATGGACACGGCTCTCATCAGTGAAAGGTCTGGGGTCGGATCGGATCTCAGTGAGCTGTATTTGGTCAGACTCTCTTTGAGATGAGTTTCTTCGATGGAAGAACAGGCACACCAGGGGATCAATTCACACATTGTGAGGAACCCTGATGAGTACATGAGAGACAATAACCAGAGATTTATTCAAGGGTAAGGTTTAGAGAATTTAAAGCAAAACAGCCTTGTAAAAAAATCACAATAAAACCATACTTGGTACTATATGACTTTGACTTCACTGAGTATGACATTTGACAGATCTCAGTAACAAGATGAAATGTAGAATAGTTGGATATTTCATTAAAAGACTATCTTGTCTTGGATGATTTAGGCTTAAAAATAACCAGAAAAGCAACAGATCGCTCTGACATGAGTTATCAGGTCTCATTGAATTTGGAACAAATAGGTCAGTTTGATTTTGGGATGATTGAGGATCTTTTTCAGCCACCCTTTGGTAACCACTCTTATGTCCCTCCAATAAAGAGATTATTGAAGGGTATAACTGGTTCTGAGTATTTTTGATATAGGAATGCAGTAGTTTTTTAAGGGCTTGAAGGCTATGACCTGAGTAACCTTGGTAGGGGGGACTGCGGTACTGATTAACATGTCAGACTCTTGGCTAGTAGATCTTGCTGTTGTGTTTTCGATTCCCACCATTGCCTGTGGAATTTTCTTTGTTGTCACCTAAGGTTGTTCATGGACACGACACTCATCACTGAAAAGTCTGGGGTAGGATCGGATCCCAGCGACCTGTATTACTCCTTTTGAAATGAGCACACCAGGGGCTCAATTAATCAATCCTTTTAGCCACCCTTTGATATGAAACATACCTTTCTACAACAGAAAGATTATTGAAGGGTTTAACTGACTTTGATTATTTTTAATAAAGGTATCCAGTAGTTTTTTGGGGGCGCTTGAAGCCTATGACCTGAGTAATCTTGGTAGGGGGCGACTGTGGCACTGATTAACGTGAGACTCTCGGCTAGTAAATTCTGCAGTTGTGCTTTCGATTGCTGCCGTTGCCTCTGGACTATGTTTTGCTATCACCTAAGGTTGTTCGTGGACACAACACTCATCACTGAAAGGTCTGGGGTAGGATCGGATCCCAGTGACCTGTATTTGCTCCGACTCCCTTTGAAAATGAGTTTCTTCAATGAAAGATCACGGGCACACCAGGGGTTCAATTCACACACTGTGAGCTCCCTTATGGAGTCAGGAAGGAGCACAATAAGCTGTATATTGCTTTAGTGAAAAAAAAAGTTAGGAGTACACACTTTTCCTGAGAAGCTATATGGCATTATTTTTATTGCTGTCAGAACATTTGTAACACTTGTAGGGTCTTTTTCGTGCATTTTATGCTTTCATTAGGCTTTCTTAAGAGAACCATTTGGCGGTGGTTATTTTTCCGGAAAATCATGGCTAGTGTAAAAGTTGCAATGAACAGCCATGCACCGTTTAACTAAATATGAGCTATCATGTGTCATTGTTCCTTTTAGTGCAAGATAAGACATTGTCTTGGTTGTTGTAAACATAATTATGAATGGTACCCTTCAATTAAGTAGTACACATCGAGCAACCTTTCTCTACACACTGGACCAGGCTTTGGCCCATTATCTTCTATTTTTCATGCTGTTTATAAATTAGTGGACCTTTAACTTGTCTCTTATGGAATAATTATGTTTTCAATCTGTAGTAATATTTTACTGTGCGTAAAATAAAAATCATCAAGCTTAGAAGAAAAATCAGTACAACGCATTTGGCAACATTACTTAGAGAATATATCAGGACTGGCAAATGTTTGAAAAAAAATTTTTTTTGAAGTCTTAATGGTACATGAAGATAGATAAGAACTGATTCAAAATGTCTACACACACAAACATTATAAATACATTTCACCATTTTAGGTATATACAATTTTGCTTATAAATTATTCATTATTGAATGTAATTAGTCTGAAATAAAAATAAAACATATTTTATTTAAAACATATTTTATTTAAAAAAAAAGTTTCACTAATAATTTATAAAATTATAACCATCAAGAATGACAAAACAAGACCTACGATTGTTCTGCTGTTATATATGTGTGTAGCACTGGATAAAAATGGCACGGAAGCATCAATAAGTGTAAAGATGTTTGGTACAAATAAGGAATGAGGATGGGTTGACAACAATCCCCAGACTTTTCCGTCACATATAAGAGGTGCCCCAGAGTCGTTAATCCATATGTTGACAAGTTTCAGACAGGAACTGGTTTTTTGTATTTTGCCTTGGAGAAAGGTAGGCGTGGCCATGCACAGTGTATTAGGAGGAGCGGCTTCCTTAACATTTATAAATGTCAAAGATGTGCATATAGTATTTTTGAATTGTGGTAACTTTTGTTTACACACGCTGCTCAACATGCAAAATTTTAATTCACAGGACGCTTCTTTTTCAACTGTTAATTTGATACTTTGCAGATTTTTAGGACCTTTAATAGGCAACACCATGGTTTTCGAATGGTCTATGTAATTGACAAAACCGAAGGTTTTGCAGTCACCCAATACGCGATATCGTTCTCGCAATGTTTCTTGGTCGTAGGAGTATATTGGAAATGGATAAACAGCCATTGGATTGGTACTTAGATCTTCATTGCTTTTAAGGTAAATAATAGCAAAATCGGTGAGCCAAAGTTTAAGTTGATTGTCAAATTTACAGCTGGGATGGGTAACAATTGACTCTATGCTGTGAATTTCATTATCTTCAGGTTCAAGAAAACGCATAATATTTGAAACTACTCTTATGTTGCTATTGATATCAATCGGCTTACAAGTGTTCTCGTATCCCACTGAGACGCATTGCGCTGTTGTCAAGATTTTCCCACTAGAGATACTGACTCCAAAACAAGCATGATGAAATATGTTATCTAATTTTTCTATGCTTACAACATAACGAATTGTTTTCACCTCATCATTTACAAATTTATCATCATCGTAATGTTCATAAAGAAGTTGTTCCACAGGGTCTGTCGTCAAAGTAGGATTTGTTTTATCATGCTCTTTATTGTCACTCGTTGTGAACTCAAAGTCCTCAAACATTTCACGAAGCAAGTCATAATCATCAAAAGTTTCAGTAATACCTATCTGACAGCACACATAAAAGTACAGATTTGTATATTCAATCAATACAAGGAATAAATAAACTGCCGTATAATTTAGAATTTGTTGTTTCATTTTTTTTTTATTTTTTTTATTTTTTAATCCAAAGATATCGATGTTTATTGAGCATATGAAAAAGTTTTAATTGTAATTATTTAAATTACTTAAATTATAAGGTGATCGATGTAACATTTATTTATGCCATACATAACTCAGCAAAAATAATATTTCTTGCATTAAAAAAAATATCTAAATATAATGTTTCGCAGTTCCAAGAAATTTCGATCCTGTTCTTCACCCGTTTGAAGCTGCTAGGGAATACACAAAAGCTGTCAATGCTGTCAAGTTGGACAAGGTTTTTGCAAAACCGTTTATAGGCCAGTTGGACGGTCATAAAGAGGGAGTTTCTGCACTTAACAAGCACACGACAAGCTTATCCAGTATTATCAGTGGTGACTATGACGGCGAAGTTCGATTATGGAACCTGCCGATGAAAAATTGCACGAGAAAAGTGCAGGCACATGACGGATCTGTGAGAGGAGTTGCAATTTTAGAAAATGGCGAAAGATTCATTTCGATTGGAGACGATAAGACACTCAGAATCTGGAACAGCGAAGCACCAATAGATGGCACTACAGATTTGCCTATAAATACCATTGTTTCCAAAGTATTTATTTTTATTAATATCACAAGTTTATCAAATAACTAAAGTTTTGTGTTTGTATTTTAGACGATTCTTACAGGGCTTTCATACAACAAGAAACAACGCCAATTCGCAACATGCGGAGATATCTGCCAAATTTGGGATGAATCAAGAAATGAACCACTGAGGTCATTTCAGTGGGGTGTGGACAGTGTTCACTGGATTGCTTATAATCCGGTTGAACGACACTTGTTAGGTAAAGAGTATTTTTATTAAATAATAATAATTACAAAAAAAGTTAAGAAGTAAAATTATTACTTATTCAATTTCTCCAAAAGAAAAAGCTCTAATACTTATACTTCAGTTGTTATAAATTGTAGGTACTTGTGCTGGAGATAGAAGTACTGTATTTTATGATATAAGGGAAAAGGGTCCTGTGAGAAGGGTTGTTTTATCAATGAGGTCCAATCAGCTTGCATGGAATCCAATGGAAGCTTACACATATACCGTAGCCAATGAAGATTACAAGTAATTTAATTTTAATTTTTTTTTACTTTGGAGTCTAACTGTTATTTTTTCAGCTTGTATACATTCGATATGAGAAGGCTGTCTTCAGCGGTGACTATTCACAAAGGCCACATAAGTGCAGTAATCGCTGTCGATTATTCGCCGACTGGTTTAGAAATAGTGTCTGGAAGTTATGACAGGACCATCCGTATATTTGGAAATGATAAGGTAGGTGGTTGGTTTTTAAATGAAATTTTGATTTGTTGTAATTGTCTTTATTTTCCTTATATTTTTTTTCTTTTACAGAGCAACTCTAGGGATGTTTACCATACAAAGAGAATGCAGAGAATCACAAATGTTTTATGGAGCGCCGACGATAAGTACATTTTAAGTTCTTCTGATGAAATGAATGTGAGAATATGGAAAGCAAGAGCATCAGAGAAACTTGGAGTGGTAAGTTCTTATTTTTAAAAACCAAAACGTATTAAATGATGGACGAACAAAATGAACAAAATTTTGTTTTTAGCTGAAACCTCGAGAGAAAAATTCCCTAAGATACAATGCATCACTCCTCAAGAAATTTGAGGCCTTCCCGCAGGTCAAGAGGATAGCTAGACACAGACATGTTCCTAAATACATTTATGGTAAAACAAAACAACACAGGATTATTACCCTTAAAGAAAAGCGAAAGTATGTTTTACATTTATATATACTTTTTTTTTTTGATAAGTTTGTTTATTAATTTTTTTAAATGTGATTTTCAGGGAGGCCAACAGAAGAGCACATTCCAAACCAGGATCTGTACCTTTTGTATCTGATAAGGTTAAACCGATAGTTCAAGTACAATAACTTATTTTAATTGTAAACAATTTTTAAATATATATTTTATTTGTACATTACACGAAGTGGTTTTTATCTCTTTGTTGAACAATCGTATTATTGTTCTGCTTATACTTTTTACGTTATATTCGATTAGTAATTTCCAACCAACCTGGTCTTCTGTTCATCATTTTACCATCATCATTGGCATGTGTGCTATTTGGCCAGACTTTTTCTATGTATTTAACCTTCGAGCTCATCCATTCCTTCCTCATAGGTTATTTTTAGAATAGATCAAGGGTGATCAGCTTTGAGAACTCTACAAGATGTAAGAAAAAAATGCCCTGGGGTACAAAACTACACCGTGGACTGGTGTTGGCTCTCTCATTGCCAGCAATGTTTCCGGGGGATGTGGGAAGTGTGAAAATCTTTGTGTTGTGTGTTTTAATGTTTTCTTAATATTAATTTGAGAACCCGAAGTAACACAAGAAGTGAGCAATTAAGAAAGCAAGACACAAAATACAGGTCAGTGGGTCAGAAAAAAATTCTAGTCTTCATCCTTTCTGATAGGAACTCGCAAAACTGGTCATGTATATTGTGTGTTTCAAGTTAATTTTTAATTTAAATCTAGAAAGTATTTAAGAAAACACCAATTTATTTTAAAAGAAACCCAAGAAATTTATTTTTATGCAATATATTTCAGTTGGTAATGCATTTCGGGCATCTAACTGTTCCCTCTTCAGAGCTACAATATTATATTATAATAAATAAAAGTTCTTTTTGTCAAAAACAGCAAGAAATCTTTTTTTTATGTACATGCCTCGCTATTTAAATAAACTGAACTCGTCGGTTAGCAAAATTACAAAGGTTATAAAATCAAGGCGATCTCAATAAATAAAAAAAGAAACAACATTCTGTATTTAAAATATTTTACCACCAAATTAAGTTCAAATTATTTATAAAAAAAATTAAAATATTTTTAATTTGTTCAATGTTTGCATTTTTGTTTTGATAAATTTAGGATTTTAGGATGGAATAATGTATTCCGAAAGATCGTAACATGAAACAGACTTTGTTCTTTATTTGATGACTCATCTGGACCTCCACTTTTCACTCCTCATAAATTATTTATATATAAGTTCTCAAACCATTCATTCTTATTTGTAAATTAATGAAATAAAAAAACACGAATAAAAGAAAGTGTCAGCACAGCAGCTCATGTATCAAGGAATGGGTGAATTATGGAGGTCCTGACTGGAAGAAAAAGTGACAATTTCACCTGATTAAGGATAGGCCTTGCACATTTGGGCCAAAGTCCATGTATGTGTCTGGGATGTGAAGAAAGGTTGGTTGATGTGTCCTGCTTGATTGAAGGATGCCATAACGACTCCATTTAGAGAAGAAATAAGATATTTAAGAATGAGTGAGAATGTGAAAGGATTTGGATTTTAGACTGGTTGCAGTCTGAACGACCTAACTGTTGATAGCTCTTGAAGCCCAAATTTGGTTTTTGAATAGAAAAGACCGAAGTTTGATTCCAAACTGCCGTCACCCAGGGTCAGTGATTCTCAAGGCCTGCTGGTAAATCATTTTAAATTATAAAAACTGGTATTGCCTGTGGACTGCGAGAAGTAATAGGCTTAACTATGTAAACGCTTGTATGTTTGTACATGTGTGTGCAGATTTGAGCTTGTATAATCAGTAATCAATTATTATATAATAAAAGACTTTTTATTCTTCTTCACTTGACTACGGATACTATGTTCCAATCAAATCACTAATCATTGGCTGGCATGTTTCATAAACTGTGAGATTCCTCTTTGTGATCTGTAAGACAGTATTATACAAGTTTGCGACTTATTTTGGACCTTTCAACAACCAGACTTTTACAGGATGTAATTTGAGTTGAAACTTCCTTGCTGTGATTGTTTTTGAGATGACAGCAACATATATCGTAGAATGACATAAAGACTTAGTTAATTAGGTTTTGAGGTGAGATAAAAAAGTCAGTGTCACGAGTGGGATTCGAACCCACGACCTTCGGCTAAATACGCCACTACTCTACCACATGAGCTTGACTTCGATCCACTCGGACACTAACTAAAACCATCTCAACTAAAAACCTTAATTAATAGAAAGATATTAATTGGTCAAGCAGACCACGAAAACTAGTGAATTTAATAAGTCAAAATGAAGTATATCTTCACTAAAGCTCTCCGTGGCCATTTCATTTGTCGCTGAGAATCGAATAGATTTCACGACATTTGAAAAATGGCAAAAAGGAGGGAAAATTCAAAAGGTGGGTTGAGATGGGAAGTTAGTGTCCAAGTGGATCAAAGTCACGATAGCTCAATGGCAGAGTAGTGGCATATCTAGCTGAAGGTCGTGGGTTCGAATCCTGCTCGTGACACTGGCTTTTTTATTTCAACTAAAATCTTTAATTAATTGAAAAATATTGGTCAAACGGACCATGAAAATTAGTGAATTTAATAAAGACAGGTTATTACCGATCAGTTTGGTCTGATTATCCTCACTGAACACCAAACTTACAGGTTCATCACATAATATGACCAAGATTTGCCGTCGCCAATTTGAATTTAGTATATGGCTAAATGAAATTTCTTTTAACAGATAATTGTACTTACTGTTCTTAGGATGCAATGGTGAAATAAAAACAAATATAATATAGGAAAAAATTTACATATTTTTAGAAAAATATTGAATGTACATGATTTTGCTGCTTGTTTTTAGGTCTAAAAGTTTTTTTAAGTTCAAAAATTAAACTCAAATTCAATTATTAAAATTTTACTTCCGTCATACAATATAGTACAATTCCTACGACGAAGCTAATTTATACTTTATAATTTTGTTATACATTATGAGGGAAGTTGCTAACCTATTCGCTAAAACTAGATTATACATGTATAGGACGGCTCTAAAAGTGATAACTTAATTTTAATATATATTACAAAAATATAGTTACATAATAAATTAATAACATGATTATGCATTAAGCTTTCTCGGTATATTATGGATAAATCTTTGAAACATGTGTACATAAACATCGTATATACAAATTTCAGGGTAGAAATTGGTGGGTCAAATATTAGATATACATAGGTACAAATGGAATTTTGAAATTGTAACACTTATAGTGTCTCAATTTAAAGTTTACATTGAGCGAATGTAGCATAACTATATTCAAATTATTTCATGGTGAACCCATTTAAAATTTAAATACGAGGAAATATTGACAACCTCTAATACTGGGAAGACAATTACATAAGTACTCTGCAATCATTTTGAATTCCTTTCAAGGATAAATTTAATTTAATTTTATGAGTAAAATTAAGTATAATTTAGTCTAACAAACTTTCTTTGGCCATAATTTTCAGTTAAGTCAGCTTCTTTTCAGGAACCACTTCTTCGCTTTCCACATGTTCTTTCATCAGAATGATCACCGCAATCATCATGTCCATTGCAAACGTCCCTTTTAATAATACACCTGCCATTGCTAAGGGGAAAAAAAAGTTTGTAGAAATTATTTTTTCAAACGCGTTCACATTCACTTACTTGCATTTCCATTCGTGACTTTTACAAAGCCCGCCGCACCCAAAAGGTTCATCAGAATGATCGTTGCAATCAATATACCCATCGCAGAAATTTTTACTAGGAATACACTGGCTGTTATTACATGTGAACTGTGTTGAATTCAAACACGCTAAACATAAAAACCAAGCATTTTATTAACAACAAATATTAAGTCTTAGATTACTTAAAATTGAATAAAACCTATAGTGCAATTTGATTCATCTGCTGCATCCCAACAATCGACAATTCCATCACACCGCTTACTTTTTGGCAAACATGACAAATTTTTTCCACACTGAAAGTGTGTCTTGAGGTCACATTCTGTAAATTAAAATTGTATTAAAATACATTTGAATGACTAGATTTATTAATTACTTATTGACCAACCGCAATCATTTTCATCAGTATGATCATAACAGTTGAAGTGTCCATCGCATCTTTTGACTGATGGGATACACAACTTGTTACCGCATTGCCATTCATTATCGAGGCATTTTGAGTCATCGACACACCTACATTCAAATTTGTTTTTAAATTAATATTTTAAAAATTAATATTTTCGTTTATAGGTTAATACATTACCGATGAGCAGTTACTGCTAGGTATTGGCAAATTTCCAAGTTGAGTTTGCACCAACCGCCACAACCTGTAGGGTCCATTGGATCTTTTATAGGCCTGCACGTTGGGACAGGCTCATTCTCAAGAGCGATGCAAACCTCATTGTACTCACAATTATCACAAAACTTTTGTTCGTCATCTGGCTGAGATTCTTCAATAAAATATAATGGTATAAATAAATATAAATATATATTTAACTAAGAAAATTCAATTTTTTACATTTAAACTTCTTTTACCTGTTGTTGTTGTTGTTGACGTAGTTGAACTACTAGCTTCTTTAGTGATGTGAATAGATGTATTGTGTAATATAATATTGTCTGAATAGGAAACAAATGTCTTGTTATTAGTTGTAGTTTCTGGTATTGTGGTAGTCATTTTTGGTTCATTTGATAAACTTTTATTAATCTCAGATTGTACGCTTTCCTCTATGATACATTTTTCTATTTCAAATTCTCTTTTCGCTCCAGGCAGGGCCAGGCAAGGTTCAGGTCTGTTCAATTTAAGACCGTCCAAAGAGAGGCAGACGCGTTTTCTCTTTCTGAACAACACATTTGGCCTCCTTGGATCTTCAACAGAGCATTCACTCCAGTCTGACCATTGAGACCACGAAACTTCTTCGGTCATGGCTAAAATTTAATATAGAAATAAAACTCAATTCAACAAATCGATGATATGATCATACCTGAAAAACTGATTGATTGGATGTCGATGATGAACCTGCCAAGCCAACAATGACCATGTGTGTGATTCAGACCATTAAGGAAGGCCAATCCGACGTTGCTCACTGTCAGACTGTCTTTCGCTTTTAAAACCAACGAACATTTGACTTTTAGATTTGGCATAAGACTTGTTACAGTCGCTCTCTTAACGTCAGACCAAAGCAGTGAATGCCTGAACAGAGACTCCAACTGAAAATCAACATTAGTTAAAACATGAAAATCCCCAAAGCAGAATAATTTGACCAAGCTTTACCTGTTGTGTGATTTCTTGACTAAGCTTCCTGAACGGCTTTGACATCGGATCAAGATAGATTGACTTGAAAGGCTCATTCAGAACTCGGAATTCTCCAGACACCAGCATCTCCGCTGTAGGACAAAAGTTTGATAATTAGTTTGAATAGAAATTAAATTCTACAAATTGATGAGGGTAAAGGAGTGTAGGCCAGTTTGAGGTATGCTGCCATTAACATTTTCCCAGATATAGTAAACTCAAAATTAATTAAATTAATGTAAAATTTAGTCGTGAAAATTCTTCAAAATTTAATTGGCATGTGTAATATAAACTTTATGTTCTCTCCCTCTCTCCTCCTCTTTCTTTCAGTCTCTTGCTTTCTTTCTGAATCTATCTTTCTGTCTGTCATTCTGTCTCTCTCCTCTCTTCCCAATCTCATTTTCTCTCACCCTTCCTTTTACTCGCTCTTTTTCTTTCTTTCCTCTTCCTCTCTCTCTTCCTTCTTCTCTCACATTCCCCCTTGCTCTTTGACTCTCTCCTTCCTTTCACTTTCTCTTATCCCATTCTCTCTCTCTCTTTCCTCCTACTCTCTCTCCTTTCCCTCATTTTCTCCCATTCCTTCCTCTCTCTCTCTCCCTCTTTCTCTCTCTCTCTCTCTCTCTCTTTTTCCTCCCTCACTCTTTCTTTTTCCTCTCACTCTCTCTCTCCTCCCACTCTCTTTCCTTCCTCTTACTCCTTCATCTCTCACTTTCTCTTCTCCCATTTTCTCTTTCTCTCTCTCTTTCCACCCACACTCTCTCTTTTTCCTCTCACTCTCTCTCCTTCCTCTCACTTTCTCTTATTCCTTCATCTCTCACTTTCTCTTCTCCCATTTTCTCTCTCTCTTTTTCCACCCACACTCTCTCTTTTTCCTCTCACTCTCTCTCTCTCTCTCGCTCTCCTTCCTCTCACTTTCTCTCATTCCTTCCTCTCACTTTCTCTCATTCCTTCCTCTCTCTCTCTCTCTCTCTCTATTTCCTCCCGCTCTCTCTCCCTCCTCTCTCTTTCATTTTGTCTCTTGCTTTCTTTTTGATTCTTTCTTTCTGGCCCTTTCTTTCTTTCTGTCTGCCTCTTTCTCTCTCGCTCTTTCACTCTCTCTCTCCTTCCTCTAACTTTCTAACCTCCATTCCTCTCACTATCTCTCTCTCTCTCATTCCCCTCTTGCTCTTTCACTCCTTCCTTTGTCTTTCTCTCTCTCTTTTCTCCCCCTCACTCTCTCTCCTTCCTCTCACTCTCACTTTCTCTCATGCCTTCTTCTCTCTCTCTCTCTCTCTCCTTCCTCTCACTCTCACTTTCTCTCATGCCTTCTTCTCTCTCTCTCTCTCTCTGACCCCTCTCGTTCTCCCACCCTCCCTTTTGTTCCTTTATCACACTTTTTCAATATATTTCTGTGTATATTTATCAATTATCATTGCATGATATGGGTGAGAAGGAAAAATGCAGAATTTGGAATATGTATATAAATGTTATATTTATATACAACTTATATTTTTTATCTTCTATTTTATATTTTATAATTTCTAAATACTATTTGATCCATAGTATTTAGATTTATCCATAGTATTTTATTCTCATTTAAATTTTATCGTTGACTTGTGAGATTGAAATTGATATTTATTAAAGCATACATTGTTTATACCTATTGTCATTGTAATTTTGTTATTGTTTTCAATTATTTATAAACAAATGTATGTGTAAGGAAGTGTGCTACATATTGTTGCTATCATATATAATCTTGTAATTATATACATAAGCATCTTGAATTTTATGAGTTTACTAAGAAATATTTGATGTCTAAAGATGTATGAATAGGTGTACATATGCACACCAATTGTAATTAGTTATCTGTAGCGTATTATTTAAACATAAGTATGCATTGCTTGATCAATAAATTCAAGTTGGTACACGTATCCATTTATCCAAGTTTGACAAAAAATATCTGCTTTCCTCAATAACAGGAAATGAAAATAATTGGCGGATGAATTAACAAAAAATTCAATCCAATAATTTCCTTCGATTTTTTTTTAGTGCACAGTGTATTAAACGGACATCGCGACGTCGGTTGGTCGTCGGAGGCCGACTTCCTTTCTGAGTCACTTCCTCCGAGTTCGTTCACCACGGATCAATTTCATTATCGATTTTAATCCTTTTCGAGCAAACTGCGTATTTCGATGGGAATTAGGACTATAGAATGTACAGGTTGTAAATAATTAAATAAAACCAGGCGATTCGGTCTGTTAATTAACGGTTTGGAAGTTCGAGTTTGAAGGCAACCACGAAAAAAATGGTCTCAACAGAGAGTAATACAAATTTGAATCAAAGCCAAAATACTTAGTCCTGCCATAAGTTCTGTTACAAGAAAAAGGGCCATTAGGGAATAGAGAAACTTGATAATTTGAAAAAGAAATTTATTTTAAAAAATCCAATATTTTTTAAGATTGAAATAAAATAATATTACTTGAAATGACCACCTTTTGCCTTCACACAAGCTTTTAGTCTTCGGGGCCAATCATCTATGGCAGTACGCAACACGTCTTGAGGAAATTTCTCAACTGCTTTTAGCAGAGCGGACTTGAGTCTCTCTAAATTGGTGTGTTTCCTGTGGCAAGCCATAAGCTCAAGATGGGACCACACATTGTAGTCCAGAGGATTCAAATGTGGGCTTCCCGAGGGCCAATCTGAAGCCTTAATCAATTCCGGAACATTCTCCTCCAGCCACTGCTGAGTTGTTCGGGCCTTGTGCGCAGGAGCTGAGTCCTGTTGGAAGACCCAATGAGTTCCGAAAAAAAGAATAGTACTTAAGGGCTTTACTACTTTCTTAAGGATGTCTTCTTGGTAATTTTTCGCTTTTGTTTTGACTCCTTGCTGACAAAAATGGAGTTTTGTGGTGCCATCGTAGCAAATTCCCCACCACACCAAGTGGGGATTTGAATCCTCTGGACTACAAGGTGTGGTCCCGTCTTGAGCTTATGGCTTGCCACAGGAAACACGCCAATTTAGAGAGCCTCAAGTCCGCTCTGCTAAAAGCAGTTGAGAAATTTCTTCAAGACGTGTTGCGTACTGCCATAGATGATTGGCCCCGAAGACTAAAAGCTTGTGTGAAGGCAAAAGGTGGTCATTTCGAGTAATATTATTTTATTTCAATCTTAAAAAATGTTGGATTTTTTAAAATAAATTTCTTTTTCAAATTATCAAGTATCTCTATTCCCTAATGGCCCTTTTTCTTGTAACATAACTTATGGCAGGACTATGTAGATTGCAAATTATAGAAAAAGTATGACAAAGTTAATAAAACTATGGTGTATTGGTGTTGGAAACTTAACACTGTCATTTAATTTTGTTTAATTTTTAACTCAGAAAACGTCACAAATGATATTTTTCATTCAATTCATCCCTTTACTAACACACACGCTTTAATACAAATACAAGCTTCCGTACTTAAAAAGTGCTTTTGGAAATTCAGAATAATACAGAATCAAAGTGGAATTCCGAAAGATAATGGCCAGGTTTGAAAGCAATTTTCAGCTGGGCCACTGACTCCTTAAACTTCTTGCTATACATATAAGTATTTTCTATGTTGTTTTGCGTTCAGTGTTAAATGTATTGGATAAAAAACTACAAACGAATTGAAAAGGTAAGAAAAAAAGGGATTAAAGCCCATTGCATAGTAGTTTATCAGCGCGTTAACATCGCCCATTTAGTCGTTATGAGAAAATTAACTATAATAACCAACAAACAATAAAAATAAATAGCCATTAGATCAATTTAAGTTTTTTGTTAACGTTTATTAATTTTTACGAATTACAGCCAAGATTTATTTCTTCCATGCTGACGCATTAGATGAAGGTGTAGTTTTACATTTTATCTTGCAGGATTCAAATTAACGGATGGAATAAAAGGGAACAAAAACATAAAATTAAAATAAACACAAAGGTTGTTTGGTTTTTTAAATATTTGCCTACTTGTGAACATGCATGTTTACTTTGCGTGAATATTTCATATTTTATGAAATGAATGAATGAATTAAAAAAGAAAAAAAAAGGTTTTCCTCAAGTAAATAGGTGGTTACTCGAAAGAAGTAGTCTGGAGTAGCAAGGACAGGTAAAGAGATAGTGATCCAGATGGTAGAAAATTTGTTGCTTTTATTTCAGTTTTAACGTACTACAGTGTATGAATGGGTTTTATCTCAAGGAAATTGGATCTAACTCGGAAGAAATAATGGTCTGAACGAGCAAGGTCAGGTAGGGAAGGCGATGCGGTAAATGTTCCACATCAACCTTTTTGAAAACTTTATACTTCTAATCCAATTTTCGCATGTTCCGATCATAATATTTTTTTCCTTTGAGGAAATGGGACAAACTCGGAAGAGTAAGTAATTTGAAGGAGCAAGGCCATAAATTGTTTCCAGATGGTGTTCTGCTTAAGTGAAATTTGTCTATTTTTATCTATTCCATCTTTTCATTTTCCCTCACATGTGTAACTGGCAATTCACACTTTTGTTGACTGGTTTGGCAGTAGTAGTCTGAAGGAGAAAGGAAAGGGTACAATGACCAACTATTAGCACCATTCTATCTATCTGGAAAAGTTTTGTCCTTTTTTTCCTTTATATTAATTTTTAGATCTGTAAAACAATTACAACGGTAAAATGCTACCAGCACAAAATTGACATGAAAAACACTTGAGAAAAAATCACCCAGTAGTGAACCTCCTTTCGAAGAAATAAATAATGATCACTTATCAATTTTCTTCGTCACTATGTAGGGTATCACGTGGCCATCGGCCTCTCAGTCGACGAAAGATTATCTGGGAAGGTAGTGGAACTAGCTGACGGACCAAGGCACTGGGATGTGTGGAAAGGGATTGATGGAATTTTTTGTAATAGCTTTTCGCTACTTCTAGAATACAGGGAATATTATGGTCTCGGTGTAGAGTGAAGTTGATACTTAATAATGAGGGTTAACAAGTTTTCTTTGGACTTTTGATTGGAATCTTTGGACGCGATTGAAGTTGGAATGCTTGGTCGACTCTCAGAGTTCGATACCGTAAGTCCATTTAGGTTTGAGAGCAATGGTGTATAGTAATCTTTTGTAATTAA